CACTAAAGGGACTCTGGAGATGATCTTTACAATTTAGGCAGGCTATGGGTTTGATTGGGTTTTCACAAGTATAGGGGGAATTAGGTTTTCATCCAATTTGTCTCCGGTTTCCACAATAGAAGTCAGTGGGATCCAACAGAAGTCTATCTCATCTTCCAGATCCACAGCCAACACCTAGTTGCCTGGAAAGACTCCAGTATTTTCCATTCAACAGCTGTGAAAGGGATTTTTTGGTGAGGGGATCTTTATTTCTGAATTTCTTAGTTTCTGAGTCCCTGAAATCTCAGACAATTATCAGAGAAGTGTGCTAGAGTCAGTAATAGTTATTGATGTACCTGCTTCCCTTTTATTCCAGCTCTGCTCTTTTGGGGGCCACCAACCAGAGGAGATTTTAGAACTTGTCATAGAAAAGGAAGTACCCTTTATTGTCTTTCACTTTGGTTTATTTAGGATTGTCTTTTTGGGAGTTACTGTCAGCAGTTCACACCCAATGGGGTAATGAATTATGAAAAATGAAAGAGTAAAAGGTTGCCAAAAAAACCTCAGAATAATAACATGTGGGGTTGTTGGAACACGTAGACTAACACCCAGAGAAATTTTTGCAATCAGGCACTTTATTCTCAGAATTGGGAGGTGGGCAGTGCCCCTAAAAGAGTTTGAAGGACAATTGATCCAGGAAGCAGATGAAAGGCTGAGTTTTCTTTTATGATGGATTTGGTTTTTGAAATCAAGTGTTGTAGGAAAACCTGGCACTGATTCTAACAGATAGCACTCATGTTGGAGGCAAAGCACATGTTTTCAAGCTCTGTCATAGCTGCACCTCCTTATCTCTCCACTGAGCATAATGAGTCTATAAAGGAATCCTGCCACTTGCCTTCTAGCTGGAATGTGGCCAAACTGCCTGAGGTGGTTCCACTAGCCTGATTTCAGCTCCAGTGTTCCATATTCTCTCCCTGTTCCCTTCCCCCATCCTGCCTCACATGTGTTCTCTTTGGAATGACAGGTGGAGAAGGGGGATGTGGGGAGGGGAGGCTGGCCATAAAGGTTTTGTGTAAGTAAAACCTCCTCTCAGAGCAAACCTTAAAGTTGTTGTTGGTGGTGGTTTTAAATAAGTAGTTTAAGACTTCGTCCAAGATGGAGGCGTAGGTAGACACACTGTGCCTACTTGCACAACCAAAAGAAGGACAACAATTAAAAAAAAAAAGAACTGACAGAAAATAGAACTGTATGGAAGTCCAACAACCAAGGAGTTAAAGAAGAAACATCCATTCAGACTGGTAGGAGGGGTGGAGACAGGCAGCTGGGCAGAGAGAACTCACGGCAAAGCAGCAGTGAGTACCAGGGCAGGCAAGGTGGCAGCTGGCCGGCAAGGCAGCACCTGGTGGACCAGCTGGTGGAGCAGATGGTCTCACTGTCATGTGCAGATAAACCGGGAGGAACACCTGGGGAGCAACACAGACCTTGCAACCCAGGGTCCCAGCGGGGGAAATAAAGCCTCAAACCACCGATTGAAAACACCTGTGGGTGTTGAAGCAGCAGCAGGAGAAACTCTCAGCCTCACAGGAGAGTTCGTTGGAGAGACCCACAGGGTCCTAGAATGTACAACCCACCCGGGAATCAGCACCAGAAGGGCTCAATTTGCTTGTGGGTAGCGGGGAAGTGACTGAAATCCGACAGAGAGCAGAGCAAGCACCATTGTTCCCTCTGGACCCCTTCCCCACATACAGCATCACAAAGCAGCGACATAGGTTGCCTCACCCTGCTGAACACCTAAGACTTCACCTCTTCTATGTAGTACGCATGCTGAGACAAAAAAAAAAAAAAATGAAATGAAAGAACAGACCAAAGCTCCGGAAAAAATACAACTAAGCAAAGAAGAGATAGCCAACCTATCAGATGCACAGTTCAAAACACTGGTAATCAGGATGCTCACAGGGTTGGTTGAATTTGGTCGCAAATTAGATGAAAAAATGAAGGCAATGCTAAGTGAAGTAAAGGAAAATGTACAGGGAACCAATAGTAATGGGAAGGAAACTGAGACTCTAAACAATAATGTGGACCAGAAGGAAAAAACATTCAACCAGAAAAGAATGAAGAAACAAGAATTCAAAAAAAAATGAGAAGAGGTTTAGGAACGTCCAGAACATCTTTAAATGTTCCAATATCCAAATCACAGGGGTGCCAGAAGGAGAAGAGGAAGAGCAAGAAATTGAAAACTTATATGAACAAATAATGAAGGTGAAATTCCTAAATCTGGCAGAGGAAACAGACTTTCAGGAAATCCAGGAAGCTCAGAGAGTCCCAAAGAAGTTGGACCCAAGGAGGAACACACCAAGGCACATCATAATTACATTACTCAAGATTGAAAATAAGGAGAGAATCTTAGAAGCAGCAAGAGAAAAGGAGACAGTTACCTACAAAGGAGTTCCCATAAGACTGTCAGCTGATTTCTCAAAAGAACCCTTGCAGGCAAGAAGGGGCTGGGAAGAAGTATTCCACATCATTAAAGGCAAGGACCTACATCCAAGATTGCTCTATCCAGCAAAGCTTTCATTTAGAATGGAAGGGCAGACAAAGTGCTTCTCAGATAAGGTCAAGTTAAAGGAGTTCATCATCACCAAGCCCTTATTATATGAAATGTTAAAGGGATTTGTCTAAGAATAAGAAGATCAAAAATATGAACAGCAAAATGACAGCAAACTCACAGTTATTAACAAACCACATCTAAAACAAAAACAAACAAAGCAAACAACTAGAACAGGAACAGAACCACAGAAATGGAGATCACATGGAGGGTTAGCAACAGGGGAGTGGGAGGGGGAGAGATGGGGAAAAGGTACAGAGAATAAGTAGCATAAATGGTAGGTAGAAAGTAGACAGGGGGAGGTTAAGAATAGTGTAGGAAATGTAGAAGCCAAAGAATTTATATGTATGACCCATGGACATAAACTAAAGGGGGGAATGTGGGTGGGAGGGGGTGTGTAAGGCAGAGGGGAGTGAAGGGGGAAAAATGAGACAACTGTAATATATATCAATAAAATATGTTAAAAAAGAAAAAGGCAAAAACAATAAATAAATAAAGTTTATCATTTATTTCTAGCTTTCTAAAATGTTTCCCTGTAATTTAGACTATGAGAACGCCAATTTGTGGGGGAAGAATTAGAATACCAGGATTTCTTAGACTTTGATGCTAAGTGTGGGTGGAAAGAGCTGAGGGGCACTGGGGGCAGGGGTTGGGGCTGTGCTGGAGATCATTCCTGGGTGTCCAGGTTTTTTGAGTTTTCAGAAAGCCTCGCTCTCTGATCCCACTGTGCTATTTCCTTTCTCTCTTCCTTCCTCCTCTGTGTGTTCAAGGCTCCAGAACAGTCTCCTTAGGTGAGAAGAAAAGACAGGAATGATTTGTAAAAGCTGTCCCTGCAAGAAGCATAGTCTTAACAATTTCTGTACAACCAGGGTTTCTTGTTACTATTTAGATCTACTTTGTCAAAGAATGCTGCAGGAACCCGGATGAGCCCTGTATGCCAAATACACTATGGAACTGGCATTTGTAATTCTATTTTAGAACTGAAAATTTTTAAAAAATCCATGCAGCATTTTATAACAGGTGGGGAAATTGAGTTCCATAGAGGCTGAATTAGTGTTTGAGGTTACACAGTAAGTTAGAATCAGAGATAGGACTAGAAGAAATGTATAGCTCCATCCTCACTGTATCCCCCTGGAGACTATATAAAGATGGGTTCTGTTTATGTCTTTTATTTAATTAATATGCATTGGGTTCCCACTATCTTCAAGGTACCATATTCCTTCTCAGTCTCTAATAGTCACTCCATAGGATCTTCCTGACTCTCCAACCAAAGAGAATTTTTCCTCTAATGATCCAAAGCACCATTTTTCTACAGAGATTAAAAGCACAAGTATAGCTGTTAGTGTGAACCTTTAACTTAGGTTAAACCAATGAACACAGGAGAGCTTCCAGGATGTCAGTGAGATTCACAGGGTAGACCAAGAAAATGGTTTAAGCCAGGATCTCTAATGTCTTTTGTAAGGCGTGGTCCAGATCATGTTCTCCTTGCCATATTATATGAACTCAAAATCAGTCATCTGCCCCACCTCCATGGGCTTTCTAAAAGCTGCAAGAGGGTAGTTTTTCTCAGGGTGGGAGGAGAGATGGCCACACGTAGTGCTTCCTGCCCTGCTCTTGGACACCTGGAAACCCATGAGTAGGTGATTGGTGCTAGCACTGAAGAGAGGTAGAGGCTGTTAGAAAGTTTGGAAACAACCACAGGCCCCTCAGGCAGCAACTGCCACAGTAACTGAGGGAAACATGTCCCCACCTGTAGGGAAACAGGCAAGGACTGTCACCAAAGGGGTCCAGCTACAGAGGCAGCCTTGCATGCAGAGGACAGGGAGGTGTGAAAAACAAAGGGGGATGGAGGGGAAGCTGGTCTTTCATATCAGTGTTTCCCAGATTTGGGACTTTGTGGACCAAGAATATAATAACTAGAACATGGGAGAGATTGATAAAGGGTTGCCAATGTTATACTTTGTGAGGTGGGGAGTTTTAAAAATATCATTTCAGATCACCATTATTTCATAAAATGCATTTTAATATATTCCCATTCTCCCAAAAAAGAATATCATCTCCAGTTTAAAATAAAAATTTTAAGTCACTACAATTATTTTTTCTCATTTCAATGAAGAAGAGAATGTATTATGTATCAGCACAGGCGCCAGAATAGCATTTGGGAATGATGGATCTAAGTGGAGTCCCCATCTTGCAAATTGGTACTCCAGAGGGCCACTCACCTCTGTTTCCTACCAGATTCCCTGTTCTGAAGAACACTCTCAGGCAGGAAAATCAAGCTACAGCCCAGTAGGCTCTGAGCTAGCTCTTTACTCTTTGGACTTAGGACTTATCTGCTGCCTTGATCTCTGAGTTTCTATTTCTGTTGGCCTGGGAAGGCCCAGAACTGATGTTCTCCTCCTGCCTCCACTTACAGATTAAAACAGAGGATGTCAATGACTCCCTGCAGCAGACCCTCTTGCATAGGCCATGCCACCTGAGTCAAGGACCTGCCATGATGTCCGGAAACCAGATGTCTGGGGTAAATGCCAGCCCATGTAAGGGAGCCCTGACATTCTCAGTGGGCCAGTGAGTTTAATTCAAGACTTTTGCAAAACGCTTGACCTCTAGATTTGGCACTCAGGGAATCTGTAATGTTCTAAAGAACCTCCTGCAGGGAATTTGAGAGAGATTGGAGGCCTGGAGTCTGGGTGGGTGGTAGGGTTACAAAACAGTCCCAATTGGGTAGAGCTTTGTCCCAGTACACTGGATTTGTGGGTTTGATCCCCATTTAGGGCACGTACAAGAATCAACCAAAGAATGTATAAATAAGGGGAATAACAAATTGATGTTTCTCTCTCTCTCCTTTCTATTTAAAAATCAATTAAAAAAATTTTTTTTAAGTCATCTTAAAGGTAAAGCCTAGCTGGTTTTGTGAAAAGTGAGGTCTCTACCTCCCTGGGAGAAAAAAGAGGCAATCTTGCAAAACAAAACAAAACAAAACAAAACACCCAAAGAACAGACCTAGCAGCTGTGGGGCTGGTATCTGCTAGCCACATTCAGGGGAGACCTATAGAGTGTTTCTATCCCTAGTGCTCCCTTCCGTCCCAACAAGTTTTTATGTCAAAGCCAAATGAACAAAATACCGGTACAGGGAAGAAAGAGGCATCCTGAATCAGTACCCACAAATGTCTGAGAAGGCATTCATGTGATGAACTCCTTTCTTGGTCTGGATTAGCTGAGGAAGAAAGACATACCCCTTCTCTGGTTATATTTAAGAGTACAATATGCACATTTCTTCATCTCTTTATTCAGTAAGAGTTTAACAAGTTTTTTATTTGGGTACAGGGCTAATTTCAGCACAGTAAGGGCACAGAGCTCTGGAGGTCTCAAGCACCAAAGGACTCCCAGATTCCCCAAGCAATGGGATTGGTATTTCCATTTCCTGGGCTGGTGGGAGAACTCCAGGGAAAATGAACTTTCTATTTAATCAAATTGTTTTTAAAAAACTAATAACTTTCTTCCTTTTTCCAGGGAAGTTTCAGGCCCAAGAACATGGCCAAGACATGATTTTTATCATGGTAAAATGCCATGAGATTTTTTAAAAATTGGACAATTAGAATTGCATGTTATTTTTAGGGTAAACAACTGAGAGAAGGGCAATAGTCTGTATCCTCAGTGTTTTTACAGTCAAGCTGGGAGACAGGACTGACACACACAAAAACTGATTAACAAGGCAAGATTTAAGTGACAAAAAGTTGCAAGGCACTGCTTGGTTGAGCTGTAATAACACCAGCATTAATGGAGTAGCTACTGTGTACCAGACACTAGTGATACACAGAGGCATAAGGCAAGGTCACTGCCCACCAACTTTCAGAGTCTGGAGACCCATGGGACAGATGAGTTAGAAGGCAGCTAGAGCTGTCACCCCAGCTTATAAATTCTGTAATGTGTGTGTCTCCTCATATGCAGGATGTGACTCCCCTCCACCCTCTCCAGCAGCTTGTGCTGGTTCCTGGCCACCTACAGTCTGTATCCCAGTTTCTGCTGTCTCAGACCCAGACTGGGCAGCAAGGTAAGAATCCTGGGGTTTTCCACATAGACCAAGTAGAGTAAAGTGCTGCTGCTGCTGCTGCTGCTGCTGCTGCTGCTGCTGCTGCTGCTGCTGCTGCTGCTGCTGCTGCTGCTTACTGGGTGAGAAAGCCCAAATTTGGCACATGAGTGAGTGACTTGGCCCTCTAATATAAAACCAGCTTTTCTACAGCAAGGCCTGAGGAAGGGACCCTGTCATTGCACCTCTAGACTGAATCTCCTTCACTGTTTCACTTTCCCATCTTTTCGCTTTCATGGCCAGTTGAGACTGGTGGTTCAAGGGTGGCAAAGAACTGGGGATGTACAAGGAAAGAGTAGCTGCTTGGGAAATGCAGTACAGACAAGTCTCAATTCCTTGGAAGTCCCTCCAGGAAACTTGACTGTGATTCTATTTGGGTAGAGCAACAGTGCCACCCACAGGTTTTCAGGTTTTCAGGTTTTCTTTGGCTGGGAAGTTAACTTCCAGATAATTTGGCCAAGAACAAAGGGATTAGAATATTTATAACAATAGCTAACATTCCTTCAGCATAATCTGCAATGAGCTCTGCTGAATAATTTTCCTGATTTAATCTTCAAATAACCTTATATTATGCCTTTGGTGATCTACTAGAAAGTTCCCAAACAGTCTGTCTGAAACCTGTGCTCTTTGCCATCTGCTGTACTACCTATCTGTCTCCTATGTCCAACAATGAGGTCCAAAAGTGATGGAAGAAGTATAAGCTCCAGAATCCAAACAAAATGGAACTGTTCCTTCTGTCTTTAGAACCTATCTAAATTTCAATCCTTATCCTTAGTGTCCAAGGCATCTTAGCATGTTACTATAATGAAGAATGAGAAGATATTTGAACCTTTAAGCATTTGTTTATGCTCAATGTATATCATACTCCTGGAGTAGAAAAGAAAAGATTACACTTGATTTAGTTTCTTTTTGGAAGATAGTGATATGAGATTGGCCCAGGCATATAACCAATAAAGCCAACATATAATACAGAGGAGAAAAAAAATGCAAAACAAACAAAAGCCCAATTCAAAATTTGGAGTCAGAGAAAGCCATTGTTAAAAAATTGCTAGCTGTGTATCCTTAGGATACTTACTTTAACTTCTTTGGGGTTTTATTTCCCCCTCCATAAAATGAAAAAGTAGTAAAACTCTACTTCACAAAGTTATTGAGGGTTATTTGAAATGATGCATGTGAAAAGACTTTGTAACCTTTAAAACACAACATGTAGTAAATGTTAGATTACAATTAATACTCAGGCCCCTGGACTCCCAGTCCAGGGTTCTTGCCTATTTATTTTAATAAGAAAAAATTAAGTCTGACTTTTTTTAGCTTAAGGAGCATAAAGGTCAGCATTAGCTGATGCTGTACCTCAGTGATGTAAAACAACTTAGGGACAGCAGAAACCCTAAGGTTCTGCTCTGTGCTGAGTGGTTGGGGTGACCCACCCCATTGTCTACTTTGGTAGTTTGATGGCCCCTCCCTGAAGTGAGAGTGAGAATGCCTGGCTGTTAACCTTTCATAGAGGAAGGCCGCTGTCACGACCACCAACCAGACAAATTCCTTCATGGACAGTTTCCAGGAGAGGGAAGGAGAAAGCAATCCTCAGGCAGTGGACTGAGCAGGTAGGATCCATACCACCAGATAGAGTTTCCAGAGGCTCAGTTTCTGGTCTCCCCTTCTCTCTCAGTCCTTCCTCCTAAGTGTAAAATGTCCTGCCAAGAGCCTGTGGTCAATGGTTCACTGCCCTGTATAGCCCCATCCAGGGCTTGTTCTGACACACTTGCAGATTTGGCTGGGCCTACATAGCCATCCAGCTACTTCTGCAGGCAAAACAGAAATTCTCAGCTTCAGCTCAAAGTCTTAGTATTCACCCTGCATCTTCTTGCCTCGTGGATTTCTCCAGCCCTGGTTATCAGATCCCAGAGCAGATTGTTTGGACCCTCCTCAGCCTTTGCACCACCCTGGATAGGAGTGCAAGCAGAAAGACTGGTTTGGGGACTGCTGTTTACATCTGTTTATCCCTATGTCTGATTTGCCTCTGCCTGTGTGTGACAATGCCTGGCAGTACCTGCGGGGGCCTCTCCATAGGGTTTTAAGGTGGGTGAGGGACTTGATTAGTTAGTAAAGGGTGATGAGAGTTATCATGGTTCCAGAGTTTCAAAGCATGTCTTCCAGATGGCCTGGATTTTATTCATTTGTTCCTTTGTCCCTCCCCTCTTACCCAGGTCTGCCACCAAATCTTCTCCCCTTTCCACAGCAACACAGCTCTCTCCTCCTCCCACAGGCTGGACCTGGCCTAATGTCGCAGGTAAACAACAACATTTTTCCTATTTCCTCAAGGAATTCCTCAGCTACTGATGGGGTTAAGCTCACTGGTTTCCCCTCAACTCCTTAAAGCTGCTCTTAACCCTCTGGGAAGAAGGAATAGCAGGGGATTAGTCCTGTTGGCTCATGGGAAAATAAAAACACAGCCAGAGAAAATTACTGACCCATTATCACTGGTGAAGTCAGACTTAGAACCAGAGATCTTAGCTCCTGGACTAGCCTGCTCCATTATGCAGGCACTCCACTCAATCCCCAAACAGAACCTAGCATCACTTATCTCAAAACCAGAAGCCAGCTAACTTCCCAGGGATGCCAAGGTAATGGCCAGCCCATCCTGGGTGCTCTCACAAGCCCCAGGGAAAGCCCAGAATCTCATAGGCCTGATGTCTCAAGACCACAAAGCCAGTGGCTCTTCCTCTGAACCTCACTTAAAACCTATTCTAGACTGCCTACTGCACTAGGCATATATTTGTGGGTCAGAAGGACTGAGGTCTGCAACAGGAGCCATTTGGAGAGCTGCCATGATTCTATACAGCACTTGTTTTCCGAATAGAATAAAAGGCACCTCTTCTGCAGGCTAGATGTGGCCTTATGTCAGGGTGTATGGCTTGGCAAGAGTAGTGGGAGTTGTACTGTAGCAGCAACTCCTCCCCTATCTATACAGTTAACTTACACAGCTGCATGAGATGGCTGTGCAGAAGTGGGTGTGCAGAAGATTGCAGAGATTCTAACATCCCTTTCTATGTTAAGATTCTCCATGGATCACTAAGGGCCCTGGCTATAGAAGGTCAGAGTCCACTAAAGGCATCTGGAAGGAGAATGCCATCTAGTGGCTAATATAAATGGGGATATGAGTCATAAGCTCTTCCACTTCCTCCTGATGACTTTTCTCAACATCAACTCACATCTTATAAATATGACAGCCAGGAGAAAAAGTTATTAAGATCATCTTGGATAGTTGTAATAAGGGACTGACTTAGGATTGTAACAACAAGAATAAAGGGGAGGGGATCAATGAGGAAATGTTTGGGGAAGCTAAGTCAATGCAATTTGGTATATCTAATTGGATGTGAAAGGCAGAGAGTGAAAGTCTAGCAAAGAACTTAATAAGTGTTTGTCAAATGAAAGGACAAATAATGAAAAGAAAGCCTCAAAGAAGACTGAGACTGTCTTGAAGGTCTGGTCTATGCCACTCCCTCCCTGCAAAACAGGATCATTCCATAATGGGTTTAAATCATTCTGTTCTAAAAGACATTGGGGAAAAGAGTCCTTAACTTCTTTCAGGTCCTTTTACCTTCCTTATCATAAGGATGCCTATCTTAATGGTAAACTGAATATCTTTGATGAGAAAATGAATAAAGTTAACCCCAGTCTAGGAAAAGAGTGAACTGGGAAGGAGGGAGAAGAAAGTGGACTTAGGCCACATTGTCCATGTGGGCAGTGGCCCCTGCACTGGAGCAATGCCTGGGTCCCTAAGCTTGGGCTTCATTCCCTATTTGTGGAATGATAAATGTTTTCATGTGTTCAATTCACTCCTGACCTCAAATGGGTACAACAAGGATTCTAGGTTTAAGAGTCTATTTTCCTATGAAAATAAACTAAAGAAACAATTTCTCCTGACAACAACAAATGAGATCAAGGTTCATTTACATAGCACTAGAATGCCTTTGATTAAAAAAAAAAAAAAAAAAGCAAAACCCAAAACATTCTCATGAAAGAAAATGATGGTTTGGAAAGTAAAATGGCAATCATAGGAGTTTGAGATTTTATGGAAATTCTATTAATGTAATAAGTCTCAGATGTCCTCTTGTTATCTTCATTTAATGCCTGTTGAACACCTCAGTAACCTTGTTTTGTGGGAAAAGAACAGACAAAGCAAACAACCTTTTCCTTGTCTTAAGACTTCTTTTTGAAATCTTTGTAAACAACCCTGCCAACTCCTTTTGTGGTGGAAAACTGAACAGAAGAAGATAAATGCTCAGAGTTAGTGAGTCACAGAATAAAACTCAGAAGGCTACCTCCCTGTCCCACACTCCTATTGTTTCTACCCATTATTCTAGGTATTTGCTATCCCTTCATGGAAACTCCAGTTTCCACTTCCATGCTATTGCAAAAAGTAGGAGTCAAATGTAGCCAGGGATCTGTTATCCTCTGAACAAGCCCATTAGTACAAAATATCAGAATATGCCATTTGATACGTTGACTATTCATGGATCTGCTTGGTTTGTGTTTCCTTTTAGACAACTGGACGCCCTGGGCTGCCAGGATCCTCTTTAGAACCCCACCTGGAAGTGTCCCAGCATCTCCCATTGCCTAAGCATCTGCCCAGCACTGGAGGGGCTGATGAGCCCAGTGACCTGGAGGAGCTGGAGAAGTTTGCCAAGACCTTCAAGCAGAGGCGCATTAAGCTGGGCTTCACACAGGTTTGGTTTTGTGGGAGAAGATGGAAGAAATTGGGTTGAGTGAGTGGAAACTAGGCTTCCTGTGTGCAGATTTCAAGGAAGCTTGAAATTCAAGGATGTGTTTAGGGCAATCCCATCATGTTCCTGTGTTCCCTGAAAATAAGTCACAGTTGCTATTGGTAGAGAAAATGAGGACATTGCCAGTGGAGGCGAGAGAAATAAATGAGAGCCAGACAAGAGTCAGGCATATGGGCATGGTCCACTCGATGTCTCCATCTTAGAAAAAAATAACCTAGAAAGGAGCCAAGGTGATGGATGAGTGCTTGCAGTTTCATTGGGTGTGTGATTGCTGCTAGGATGGTGGAGAATGTGGACCAAGAAGAGAAGGATTTTGTTTCTCAAGTTACTTCCTTTCAATCCCACTCACAGGGAGATGTGGGGCTGGCGATGGGAAAGCTGTATGGCAATGACTTCAGCCAGACCACGATCTCGCGATTTGAAGCCCTCAATCTGAGCTTCAAGAACATGTGCAAGCTCAAGCCACTGCTGGAGAAGTGGCTGAGTGATGCAGGTAGGCCTCAGGGACATAAGGATGGATTATGCCCTAGAAAATTCTGCAGGGAAGGGGCTAGTGACTTGTCTGTGTTGGGGCTTTAGGCAGTCATACATTATACCTCTTTCTTCTCCTCCCTAGTCTGGAACCAACTGAGAAATAAGACACAGGCAAGTGGAGAGAAAATGTCAGTTGTATTACTCAGAAAGCCCTTTGGAGGACATGGCTTTAGGTCTGTGACCATGAAGACTTGTACTTTTTCCCTTCTGTAACCCAGACCCACTCAGCATATATCTTAGGACAGCTGGCTAGAGACAAGGATTGGGTCTGCAGAGCAGACACACTTACCCAGATTGCTGTCTGGACTAGGTATAGGTCAGGGTGATGGGGAAGTGGATTTCTTAAAGTCTCACTTATAGGAGGAGACAGTAGACACAATAGAAGGTCTTATCTGGCTAATTCTTGAGTAGGTTTTCAGAGGACAGGGAGTTACTATGAGCTAGACTGGTCAGAAAAGTCTTACAGCAGGAGGGGAGTTTTCAGAATTCAATCAGGTGTGGTGGCCAGGGAGGCATTCCAGCAGGTCAGGAATGTAAGCTAAGGAACAAATGTTTGAAATACTGAATGGAAGAGTTTGTTGTCAGGGGCAGAGTTTCTCAGCTATGGCACTATCAGTATCTTGGATCAGATCATTCTTTGTTGTGAGGCACTCTCCTGTTTAGTAGCATCCTTGGTCTCTACCCATTAGATGCCATAGCACCCACCCCCAGCTGAGATACCCCAAAAAATGTCTCCAGATATTGCCATATATCCCTTATGGGAATTGTGGTATGATACTGTGGTCCCTGATTGAGAACTACTGGTCTAGCTAAGAAGGAAAGAGCAGAGTCAGCACTAGGGCTGGGCTCTATTCTGTAAATATGTGTGAATTAGTGATTACTGTGGAAATGGTGAGGTGGACAGCCAGGGATGTTACCCTCTGGAAGTCCTTCCAAATGGAAACATGGGACGGGGCAAGGAAGCTCCTTCCTCAGGAAGAGACTGTCCCTTTCACAACTTTTACTGAAACATTGAAGCCCTGGCCATGTGGCTTAGTTGGTTGGATCATCCTCCCGTACACCAAAAAGTTGTGGGTTCAATTCCCGGTCAGGGCACAAAACTAGGTTGCAGGTTTTATCCCCATGGCGGGGCAGTGCATAAAGGAAGCAACTATTTTATGTCTCTCTATCTTTCTCACATCAATGAACATATCCTCAAGTGAGGATTAAAAAAAAAGTATTAAAGTGAGGGATGAGATCAAAGGGTCTTAGGATCTTTGGGAAAGGACCTCACAGATCATTTTTAGTGTGATACCCCACCTGACACCTAAACCCTTCCTAAGGGATATTCCTGCCTATCAATTTAATAGCCTTAGCTCCAACCATTATACTGGGGGAAAAAAGTGGCTTCAATACCAACATTTTAGCACCAAGTGTCATTGCTTTTAGGTCAAAGTGACAGTTTACATTGTATTTGGTGTTCAGGCATACTTATAAACCAGTAGTTCCCAGCCTTTTTGGCACCAGGGACCAGTTTCATGGAGGACAATTTTTCCATGGATGGTGGGCAGGGGACAGGGAGGGATATGGTTTTTGGATGATTCAAGTACACTACATTCAAGTTCACCTCCTGCTGTGCATTTGGTTCCTAACAGGCCCAGACCAGTACCAGTCCACAGCCTGGAGGCTGGGGACCCCTGTTATAAAAGACAGACTCAGGAGTGTTACTTGCAGAGGCTCTGCTTGTACCCACTCACACCCACACATGCTGATGATGTCTGGGTGTCCCTAAACCATGACTGCAAGCACTGGAGGCATTGCTGTGGGAGTCATGAAGGATCTTTGCCTGGAGCAATGAGGATAAGCAGTATTTTTGGTCTGTCTTGTTCCCCAGGTTGGGCCTAGTCCTGATAATACACTGTAGAACCCACCCAGAAGAGTTGCTGGATCTCAGGTCCATGAAGATGGGATTGGCTGTCCATTCCTTTCTTTGAGCTTCATTTGCTCTTTCACCTTCCAACAGAATCTTCTCCATCAGACCCCTCGGTGAGCACTCCAAGCTCCTACCCCATCCTCAATGAAGTGTTTGGTAGGAAGAGGAAGAAGCGCACCAGCATTGAGACCAACATTCGCCTGACTCTGGAGAAAAGATTTCAAGATGTGAGTGGCTCCTCTGGGTGGGAGCAGTGGGCCAACTTCCACAGGTGGTTGAGCAGGCACATAAAAGGCCCTTTGCACAAACCCCTCAGCACCTGTGCTGGGAAGGGGTCAGAAAGCAATGACACACTTGCTCTATGGACACCCAGGTGTTTGAGTGAAAGTCTGCCCTTTATCCCCAGGAACTAGTTCTAGGAACTTCTTCCCCCAGTGACCCTTCTTGCCCTGACATCTGTTTGGGGTGACATTGTCCCTCTCACTGGAAGATTTAAAAAACAGGATATAGCATCCCAGAAGAGGGTGTAGATCTATACCCAGTTAAAGAAAAGCGAGCACAGCCAGGGTATTGTATATAAATTCTTTATTTTCTAGGCATTGCTTTGTATTTTTCAAATTACAAATATAATAAATGCTTCTTGTAAACAATTAGGAAAATTCAGTTTCAGTCCTGACACTGAAAATTAGTGTCAGGTTGTAGAAAGAAAACGGTTATCATTAAATGCCATCTAAATGTATTTCCTTCTATTTCATTGTCCACTTAGATATAAATACTTGTAATCGTATTATATAATACATTTTTTAACTTGTAGCAAAAGTGTATTCTTGAACCTGTTATGTGAAGCTAATAGTATCAACTATGTGCCCCCATGGAAGCTGGGGGAGAGAAGAGGTATGGTCTAAACAGTTTCTAATCAGGTTCCCTTAGGTACCAACCTCCAGAACCTGCATCTCTACCACACAAGTCCCTAAAGAAGGTGCATGTGGCCTACTTCAACCTTGTTGGCCCCAGGCCTCCAGGACTGCTGCCCCTCCAGCAGATTCTGTAGTGCATCAGGTTCAAGGATTTGATGGCTGCATCCTGCTGGCAGCATGACTAGAGCTGGCTTTTCCTTCTGATTAGTTTTCTCAGAGCAACAAGAGTGAGGGAAGTTATAGGAGGGAGGAAAGAGGGCTGAGATCAAAGTCTGGGTAGGAGTGGGGTCAGAACAAGAGAATGATATGTATTTCCACAGTCTTGATGGATTCACATATTTTAGCTTTATCATTTCCTATTTTAATGTAGGACAGGAAGCAGTGTCGCAAGAGAAATATACTAGATTATGGGGAAAGAACAGAGAGGAGAGCATGGGTTCTGGAGATTTATCTTGTTCCCACATAACTTACCAATGGACTCTTCTTTTCAGAACTTCTCTTGAAGAAGGGAGGAAGAGAAGAGAACCTGTGTCAAGCCTTGGGTTTGGCAGTTTACATTCATTTTCTTATTTAATCCTCACAATAATCTTTCATAGTAGGCATTGTTATTCTCATTTCTTAATGATAAGACTGAGGCTCAGAAAGGTTAAGAAAATTTCTTAAGGGCACACAGTAAATGATAAGCTAGTATTCCATCCTAGGTCTGATTCTAAAGCTTTCGATTCATCTATTTTTCTATCCTGCTTCCTTGGAAGTCTGTCCCCCACCCCCAGTTCTTGACTCTATTCCTTTGTTCTTCTGACCAACCTCTCTCACTTCTGTCTCTGTAGAACCCCAAACCTAGCTCAGAGGAGATATCCATGATTGCAGAGCAGTTGTCCATGGAGAAGGAGGTGGTAAGGGTCTGGTTCTGCAACCGACGCCAAAAGGAGAAGCGAATCAACTGTCCTGTCACTGCACCCATTAAATCACCCATCTATACTTCCCGTCTGGTGAGTGGCCAGGAAACAAGGTGCCCGCCAAACACAGGGGGAGGTGATGACTGGAGGGTAAAAGGTCTTCTCCATCCTGGGGAAGGTGAGGGATTGGAGTTGATGGGTGTATGAAGTAAATAAATCAGCAAATAGATGTTTTATATTAAATATCTAATATAAAGAATAAAGAAAGGTAAGGAGATAGAAAGTTATAGTGGGGAGATTTTTTTAATAGGTCAGAAACAACTTCTCTAATAAGGTGACATTTGATCAGAGATCTAAGTGTTGAAAGAGAAATATCTCAAGGAAAGGGTGTTCTAGGAAAGGGACCAGTAAATGAGACCACCTGGCATGTTAGAGGAACAGCAAGAATGCCAGTGTAGCTGGAGTACAGCAAGGAGGAAAGCGAGAAGTAGGAGATGAGTGAGAGAAATAACAGGAAGCAGGCTATCTAAGGTCTTGGAGGTCATTGAAAGGGCCCTGGCTTTTACTCTGTGTGAAATAAGCCACTAGAGGGCTCTGAGCAGAGAAGGCTAAGTGGCTGACATGAGTTGCTGTGCAGTAAATGATCTGTGTGGAAACAGGAGACTAGCTAGGAGAATTATATTAATCAGGCTAAGTGATAGAGGCTTAGGCTAGGGTGATGAGAAGTGGTTGGATTCTGAGTATACTTCAACTGTGGATCCAACAAGATGTGCTTACAGCTCAGATGTAGAGTATGAAAAATAAGGTAAAGATGACATCAAGGGTTTTAGCCTTAGCAACTGGTTGGAAGATGCTGCCCTTTTGTTTGTTTGTTTGTTTGTTTTTAGATGATGAAGACTCAGGAGGAACAGTTTTGAAAGGAAAAACTAAGAATTTAGAGTTGTCATATTAAATTGGACATGACTCCTAGACAGCCAAAAGGAAGTGTCAAGCAGACAGTTATATCTATAATTATGGTGGTCGGGGAAGAAGTCAGGACTGGGAATAACCCAGACTTCAGGCAGACCTCAAGAATAGAAAATATCTTCTCTATTCTGGAGAGAGATGTTGCCTAGAGGTGGGTGTGGGAATGTTCTTCTCTACCCTTGAGGATGGGGATGGTTTAAGGTTAAGGGAACTGAGGCTAATGGTGATGTCTTTTAGCACTAAGGATAAACAAAATTCAGCCTTGCCCAAGGAGGGACATAGCTATTTCATAAAACTACACCATTATTCATTCTTTCACCAAACATTTATTGACTATCTACTACATATTGTTTTTTATGCAGAGTCCTGGGATACACAAATAAGTATTATTTGTCCCCTCTCCCAGGGGACCTCATTGTCTAGCAAGGGAGATAGACAAATAAACAAATGATAAACAACATGATAGCTTCTTTAGGAGAACTTAGTAGTCACAGCTAACAAAGCCTTGGGAAGTAATGGTTAGAAAGTCTTCCCCAAGAAGATAAATAACACCTGGGCTAAGTGTAAAAGGCAAAAATAGTGAAGAAACAGATAAGTGAGGAGGTGGAGTTTTCACAGGGAGGAAGTATGAGAATAATGGTATAGATCAGGAAGTATTCACGGAACTGCTGGTGGTTCCACGTAGAGGAATGTAGAAAGATGAGGATGGATAGATCGGTAAAGACCAGACTGAAGGGACTGTGTGCAATGCTAAAAAATGTCAAGGCTTGGAGGAGTCATTGAAAAATTTTTAAGCAGGGCACTGGCATGATCATATTTGCTTTTTAAAATGATCATTCTGACTTCAGTATAAATAAGGTAGTTTGATAGCTTGGGAGAATAGTAAGGATTTGATTGTAATTGTCTAGTAGAGAAATGAGGGCTGAAGCAAACCCAGGTGGTAAGAATGAGGGGGACGGGAAAGATGATTCAGGACATAATTGGAAGGTAGAATTATTAGATTCTGGCTAATAAACTGAAAATTGGGTAGTGACATGGAGAGTGATGAAGGAAAGCAGACACTTGGAGATGATTCTCAGAATTCAGGGTTGGCTGATTGGATAGATGATGATTCCATGGATGGAACAAGCAAACACAGGGGAGGAGCTAGTTTGAGAACTGGAAAAAGTGATAATTTCAGTTCTTTCCATTATTATGATGTTCAGTGAGGCCTGTGGGACACCCAAGTGGCAATCGCCATGGTCACTTAGGATTATAGGTCTGGAGAGTAGGAGAGAAGGCTGGAATAGAGATACAGATCAGGTAGTTATAAACATATACATGATGTTGAAATACAGGGTGAAGAGGAGCTCACCTATGGAATCTGTACACAGGAAGCAAAAAGGAAAGTATAGGTCTCAATCCTGTAGAACACTAGCATTTGAGAGATTGACAAGAAGAGTATCAAGGGAAGAAACTGAGAAAGAGAAGCAGAGAAGACAAGAAAGTGCAATGAAATAGATGTAAGGGATAAAATGGGTGTGAGGAACTTTACAGGAGTCCTATAGGAACACAGATGAAAAACCCAAATTGGGCCTGAGAGGGCTGACACTCTATTTTATTTGAAGAACACATTCAAAATTAGCAAGAAAATTGGTATTCAAGGCAGAAAGAATGGTCTGTGAGAAAACATGGAATTCTAAAACAACATGATGCTTTTGGAGAATCACACCAATTCAGTCTGGCTAGAGTTGGGTTTGGAAAAAAGACAGAGATTGATGAGGGCCAGATCATGAAGGGAATTTTTTTTAAAGGACTGTGTTTTTTTTTTTAAGATTTTATTTATTTATTTATTTTTAGAGAGGGAAGGGAGGGAGAAAGAGAGAGAGAGAGAGAAACACCAATGTGCAGTTGCTGGGGGCCATGGCCTACAACCCAGGCATGTGCCCTGACTGGGAATCGAACCTGTGATGCTTTGGTTTGCAGCCTGCGCTCAATCCACTGAGCTACGCTAGCCAGGGCATGAAGGGCCTTGATACCAAAATACTCTATAAATAATGATAATCCATTAAATTTTTAAGTTGGAGGAAATGTGATACTCATTCATTCATTATTCCTTTCTTAAATATTTCTCTTTTTTAAAGATTTTATTTATTTATTTTTAGAGAGAGGGGAAAGGAAGGAGAAAGAGAAGGAGAGAAACATTAATGTGTGATTGCCTCTCACATGCCTCCTACTAGGGACTTTGCAACCCAGGCATGTGCCCTAAACTGGGAATCAAACTGGCAACCCCTTGGTTCACAGGCCCACACTCAATCCACTGAGCTATGCCAGCCAGGGTTTTAAATATTCTTGAGCACCCACCATATGTTTGACAGTGGGACAGAGTGGAGCACAGGACACCTGTGATCTCTGCTTACAGTGCAGCGGGGAAAACAGATATAAACAAATGCTATTTGTGCTGAAGCCTTCAGCAAAGATGTATGGGTATTGCAGGGACCAAATTTTGTCCAGAGTGTCAGAGCTTCTCTGAAAAATGATGCTGAAAGTGACAGCAGAAGAATGAATGGACATTAATGGGGTAAAGGTCTGAGTTGGGAAGAAAAGGAGGAGAGAGAATACAGAAAAACATCCTAGGCAGAGGAAACAATGTGCACTATAGCCCTGAGGCTGGTGTGGTGGGGAGAGGAAGCACAGAAGGCTTGAATGGGCCGGAATCCGGGGAGTGAGAGAGAGTGTGAGGAAAGAGGCTGGAGTGGGAGGTAGGGATTATGTAGGGTGTTGGAGGAAATTGGACCATGTCTCAAGAACATTGGAATTTTCCAAAGCACCAATGTTTAGATTTGGTGCTTTGTTTACAGCAGATGGGAAATAGACTTTTGCTTTGGTTTAATTCCAACCAAGGACACCAGCATGGAGAAAAACAGTGAGGGTATGAAGGACCTGTGAAACAGCCTGACTCATTCTCATCACTTATTCAACAGGTATTTGCTGAGCACCTGCAAAGTTCCAGGCATTATAGTAGACACTGAGGGTATAACAGTGAACCACTCTGGTATCCTCCTGCCCTCATGAAGTCCACAGCCTAGTGGTGAGGGGGAGACATTGTACAAATAATTAATACATACTTGTGCTTTTATGAAAAAAGCAAATAGAGAAAATGTTCTGACCCTGTCTTTTCCTCAGGTGTCATTGGGACAGTCTCCTTGGGAATAGGACATAATTTTTTCCTGCTTATGAAAAGAAATAATCATCAAAATATACCATTCAGCAGGGGAAAAAAAAGCAAATGGTGCAGACCAGTGTAGGCAGAATGCTACCATTGATATAAAAATTTAAAAAGAAGGAGCCATATGTATGTCTCCTTGCATATGCATAATCTGTCTCCAGAAGGAAACCTCTTAGAAGCTGGTCACAGTGACTAAATACATTATTTATTTTAAAACAACAAATTTCTTGGATGTGGCAGCAGGAAGTGGAAGAGAAGAAAAGGGAGAAAGATTATTGATAACATCTCTTACCATGCTTACTACAGGAAGTGAGCATCCTGCTGGGATGGGATGTTACAAACTCGAGAGGGAAGGAATATCAAATCACACCCCCCTGAGCAGAAACTTCTCAATGTCTTTAAAAAAGCATTCATCAGCTGTGGCTGATGTGACTCAGTTGGTTGGAGTGTGGTACCCAGAGGGGAGGTGGGAGGGGGTAATGGGGAGAAAGGGGGAAGGGTTTTCAGGAACACATGGATAAAACCAAGGCGGGGTGGGATCAGGGGTGGGAGGTGGTGGTAGCTGCCATGGGGTAAATGGTGGGGGGTGGAAATGGAGACAACTATACTTGAACAACAATTTTTTTTTTAAAAAAAAGCATTCATCATCTGTGGCTGGTGTGATTCAGTTGGAGTGTTGGTCATGAGTTTGATTCTGGTCAGGGCACAAAAGGGTTGCAGGCTCCATCCCCAGTGGTGGGAGGTGGTGGGGGGAGTAGGGGGGAGTGGTATAAGAGGCAACCAATTAATGCTTCTCTCTCACATCTCTCTCTCTCTCTCTCTCTCTCTCTCTCTCACACACACACACACACACACACACACACTTTCTTCTTTACTCTCTCTAAAAAATCAATTAGAAAAAAAACCCAATATGCTGGGGAAAAGATATCCTCAGATGAGGATAAAAAATAAATTCACCAGAGCTTCCCTGTCAGCATGAGAAGAATGAGGGGAGAGAATGTATGAAGATTTCAGTTCAAATGAAAATGTGAACAGGTTAGCTGCCTATAGACAAGGCAGCTAACAGCTTCTTTCAGGAAGGAAGGGAACTAACATTTAACAAGTCCAGCATACTTTGCCAGGTATTGAGTTGGAAGCTCTATGAACATTATATCATTAAATCTTAATTAAAAGAACCTATAAGGGAAGTATTAGTACTATTTTACAGATGAGAAAGCCAAATCTCAATGGGATTAGGTAACTTGCCCAAAGTCACACAGATAGTCGGTAGTGGAGCCAGGTCCTACCCAGATTTGTTGGGCCCCAAAGTCCATTCTGTATATTTCATCTTTTTCTACATTCTAGGATAGTAATACTGAGGGGGAGATTCCTGAACTTTGTGGGAGACTAAACTAAATTATCTTAGGCCCCTTTCAAATCTTAGACTTGCTGGTGTTGTGAGGTCTCCAGGGCAAAATAAAATATTCAGAAACCAAAGTTTAGCTCCTCCAGTGATCTCTGGAGAGCTGATGGTCCACTCATGCATGAGGCTGGGAAGCTTGAGACAGGGTTGTTAGGACTGGTGCTCTGCTGCTCTGAGCAAAAGCAAAACCTTTTTACCAAGGAAGAAGGAAAGACTGAAAAATAGCGTCTGCCCCAGCCGATTCTAGAAGGGCATGCTCATTTCATTGTTAGAGCACTCAAGCACAGCTCTGACCTGGCAGTTCTAAAGAAACCTTGCCAGGGGATACACAGCAGGGTGGGCAGATCTGGGTGTCAGCAGCAGAGAGCTGTGGGAGCAGGATAGAGCTGGAGCTGGGTGTTGTATGTGGTCCAGAGACCTTTCTATGAAATGGGACAGGATATAGGTTTGGACTAGAAATTGTCAAGGAAGCTAAGATCTTACCTCTGCAGAGATGGGACCCAGCATCCCAGGAAAAGTATCAAAGGTTGGAGAATGGGGTGGAAATGGACATTTACAAGATTTTGTTGCCTTTCAGGTCTCTCCCTCTGCATCTCTGGGCCCCCTCTCCATCCCTCCTGTCCATAACACCGTGCCTGGAACAGGTGAGCTTTAAGATGAAGTTTCTGAATTACACCAGAATTCCTTTAAATAATGGAATATTAGAACTGAGAATAATGGTTCTAAATGTGTTTCAAAAGATATTAAAGTCGGTTTTAGAGAAAAAGGGTTCCATGATCAAGTAAGTTTAGGAAATACTGAGTAAGCAAAGTTTAAATAAGTATTTATGTTTTGTTTTGTTTTGATTATAGCACTTCTCAGCACTCAAGTACATTACACATTCCCAAAGAAGCTGTATGAAAGGCTAACAGAAGAGAGGGTTTTTCAAACCAATTTTGTACAGAACTCTGCTTTTCAAAAAGTACTATAGCATTTCAGAAAGCTAAATAGGGTAACCATAAGTCTGGATGCGCCAAGGATAATCCTAGTGTCAGCCTCTTGTCCTGACATAATTATCAATAGCACGCCTTTCCACTCTTCAAAACATCTTACTTTGGATGGTAAAATATATGTCACCTTATCCATGTAATGTTCATACAATGCAAATACAAGAGCTCAGTTTAATCTAAATCTGCCATTTTACAGAGGACAAAAATGAGTTTCAGGGAAGGGAAGCCAGTTGCCACAGGCCACAGAGCTGCTGGGACCTAGACTTGGGTCACCTCATTCCTTGTTGTACTCTTTCTAGAAGACCATGTACCTTTTGTTTGCAGAGATGAGAACACTATGGAGGCTGGCAATCTTTATTTCCACTCTCAGGCTCTCTTTTCCTCCCTTATGTACTTTTCTTTCATTCCCATACTCTTCCAAACTGAGGTTTCTTGTTCATTTTCCCACCCTGCCTTTTGGTCTGGGGCTGCATATGCCCAGCCCAGGGTGTGTCCTACAATAGGATGATTTTGGCACCAGTCCTTCTTCTGTTTGACAAGTCTAAGACTTGCAGAACCAGCCATGCACCTCTTCAGAGCCTGGTCTTAGGAGAGCATTCATGATGAAAAACCCTCTGCAGCTGGGTGCTGATGCTAATATGGCAGGAGCTGGACAGATAAGTGGGGATGGGGAGAGGGTGAGACTCCTTTGGGGATACATGTTTTGAAGGGCCATGCCACAAGGTCCAAGCACGACCCAGCCACTTTACTTTCCTCTTGTTTTTGCCTCTCCTTATCCTCAGTAACATCACCCTGTTCCCCTGGGAACAACAGCAGGCCTTCGTCTCCTAGCTCAGGACTTCATGCAAGCAGCCCCACTGCACCTCAAAATAACTCCAAAGCAACAGTGAACTCCTCCACTTTTAACTCTTCAGGGTAAGATGGAAGGGGAGAGAACAGTAACAATCCATCAGGGCCAAGGGACTTGTGAAAAGCTAGGTCAAAACCTTGGGAAAGAAAGCTGTCACTGGGTTGGAAAAAAGAAATGGGGTGGCAGGGAGGAGGCAGAGTGGAGAGCCAAACTGGACTTTATCCCTGAGGAGTTGCACTTAAAAGAGAAGCTTCAGCCAGTGAGCATTCCTACAAGGAGCTCATGTCAACAAAGCCAAAATGTCCATCCTCACTGGGAAGGTGGAAATTTCCAAATGTCAAGCCCTTCACTGGGCTTAGGAGTTCTCCACATAATGCCAGTAACCCTGTTATGGGGACACTGTAATGTGGACTTGAGCTTTGAACATGGCTGGCACAGTGAGAAAGGGAAGTTAGGATGCTGTTGGGGGAAAGTAGCCTCTTGAGTCAAAGAATCTACTAAAAAGTATTTTCATAGGTAATGCCTTGAGAGATTCTTCCCTGATTGAGAACAAAAGAGATTTGAAAGTTAAGTGATAGGTTAAAGATCTGAGCTTGTCAGAAGAGATTAATCTACTTGTCCAAACCTAGGTAGTTCAGCAAGGCAGCCAGTTCTCATTGGCCAATTGTCACATAGCCCCAAAAGTTGGAGCTCCTCAGCTACCTCCACAAAAGAGAGGGGGGTGGGGACCATGTAATGTACATTTTAAATATTGTTTTGAGATATAACTCATATACCATAAAATTTATCATTTTAAAGTGTATAATTCAGTAGTCTTTAATATATTTATAAGGTCACACAACTATCATTATTATCTAATTCCAGACCATTTTTACCATCCCAGAAAGAAACCATATGCCTATTAGTGGTCACTATCCATTCCCATCTTCCTTCATCACATTAACAGCTTTACAACTGACTTGTTTTTTTCTCCCTTCCAGATCTTGGTATCGATGGAATCATCCCACCTACCTCCACTGAGACCACAAAGTTTCTCCTATTCCACTTGGCCCTGTATTCCCCATTGGAAGAAAGGGACTCATCTCTTCTCTGTATGAACAGATTACTCTCAGAAGAGCAGAGGAGAATCCCCTCTATCACTTAACCTAAATTCTTGCCTTCTTAATGAGCAAGGGCCTCTGGAGATTTAAACTGTGATTGAACCATGTGTTGACTTCTAGCATTATTGAAATATATACCAATGCTAGAATTTGAACTTCCTTGCCTGTGCCTCACCTCCAACCTCTAGTTCTAAATATTTTGGACAGCATCACTGTGGCAGTGATTTTTCAGAGAAAGGATACCTTGCCATTATTCTCCAACCCATTCTAGGGACAGCCATTTGCCTGGCGTGCCAAACTATCAAAAAGAGACATAATGGTTTTAACTCTGACTTTAGCTATAATCTCTGAACTAATTCTAAAATCTGTGAAAAGACTTGAATTTGATGTCTCCACCAAAGCCTTGATGTTTTCCCTGTTCAGCCAAGTTTTCTGACTAAAACTTCTTTTGCCCAATTTTCTCTTTAGCACTGCCCCCTTTTCTAGAACCAACTCCATTCATGATTTTGTTCTCCAGGTTCCCTCCTCTTTACAGAAGGCTGAGTTCCTCAGTCCTCTGGGCATATTTCTGTACCTATAGATGCTCTTCCGTCTGTTACACCTGTCACAGAGTTAAGGAGCAATTGTTCACTCTCACCTTCCCTGTGTTTTTCCTTATCTTATTCTCTCTCCCTTATCCTGGCTGTAGAAGGAAGAACACAAAAACAAACACGCAACAGTTATGCTGGCAAAAAAACCTATATACAGCCCTTTCCTCTTTTTGCACTTTCTTCTTCTTTCCTTAATGTGGAATTTTCCAGCAAAATGTTTAACTCAGGTGTGAATTTTGAACATGGCTGTAATATTTTATCTTCCTTTTAAAAAAGAAGAGAAATGAAAAATACCAAAGTCTGAAATACTATGCTGACTCCCACAAGAATTCCCACATAGGCTAGGAATCCTTGTTAACTTCCTGGAAATGTTATTTTAAGCCTCCTTTGTGAGCCAGTGTGTTGAAATGTAACATGAAGCCATTCTAGAAATGATAACTTAAAGAAAAGCTGCATATCCAAAGAAATGTTGAGATTCAAAGGAATCGCATTGTTCCTAAATAAATTTGTATAGTGCTAATATACACTATTCCACTATTGATAAGAAGATGTTTAGATGATTGTTCTGTGTCTTTTATTGTGGGGTGATGTGAGTGTATATGACAAAGTAGTACGGTAAAAATGTTTCAAATTAAGTGTATTACTCCCCAAACCAATGCTAAAGCTAACATACATTAATGCAGGGCTGTAAGGACTTCAGAGTTCTTTTTTTAATTTTTGACAGAACTGCCTTGAAGGCAGAGAAGAGATTAGTTTCCTCATTTTGTGAGAGAATAGTAACTACTTAAGGTCAAGTCATTTGAAGACTTAAGTTAAGGCTAATAGTTCATATCTCAGATATCCTGAAGGTCAATTATTCATAATTTACAGTGGAAAGCAATATATATTTAAGACAAATAATAATTTAATAATCATATATATTTAGCTTTGGAATGTGCTGAGACTTTAATGAGGGGTTAAAGGGGAAAGAAAGCTATACTTGTGGTCTTTCTTAGGTTAATAAAAATTTAGTTACCATTCCTGAGGTAAGCATTCATCTGTGGAAAAAGGAGGCCCTTCACAAATGTAATAGCCAAAGGGTTTTTCCCTAAAACCCTAAAATTTGGATTAGACATTTTTAATAAATAATAATCATGTGGACAATCTAAACATAAATGATTAAGAGTGAACTCTTCTTGATGTTTGAATGGCGCTTATATTAAGCCTAATATTTCATGTCATGAAGTAGGAGATGGCTAGCTGAAAGGGGCTTGGTATATAAAAAAGACAGCAAGAGGACCCTCCAGTAGTAATTTAAGTATATAAAGGGACAACTCTGCTACCCATGAGCCCATCTGTGCGTATATATGCATACATACACAGGCATATGGTACTCTCCCTTGTATACTCATGGGTGCCAGAGCTGACCCTTTTCTTCAGCAGTCCTGGCTACCTTGACATATCACTCAGGTGGATGATAAACATTTATCTGTACTGTCCAAGACTCTGGTTTTTATCCATTTGAACTTAAAAAAACTTTAATTTTTTACAGCAGTTTTAGATTTACAACAAAATTGAGAAGATGGTACAGATGCATAGACCCCCCCCCCCCATTATCAATATCAGAAAGCACATTTGTTTTTTACCAAGGATGAACTTACATTGATGCTTAATCAATCACCCAAAGTCCATAGTTTAACTTAGAGTTTATTCTTGTTGTTGCACATTCTACACAGGCTTGGATAAAAGAATAATGACATATGTTCATCACCATAATACCATACTATTTTTCACTGCCCTAAAAATCCTCTGTGCTCTGCCTATTCATACTTCCCTTCCACTACCCCCACCCCACAACCACTGATTTTTTTACTGTCTCCATAGTTTTGCCTTTTTCAGAATGTCATATAATTGGATGCATATAGTTATATACCCTTTCTGGATTAACTTCCACTTAATAATGTGCATTTAAGTTTCCACCATGTCTTCTCATGGCATGATAGTTCATTTCTTTTTTGCTCAGAATAATATTCTATTGTCTGGATGTACCTCAGTTTATTTATCCATTTATCCACCTACTAAAGGACATCTTGGTTGCTTCCAAGTTTTGGAAATTATTAATAAAGCCGCTATAAACATCTGTGTGCAGGTTTTTGTGTGAACATAAAATTTCAGTTCCTTTGGGCAAATACCAAAGAGTATAAATTGCTGAATGTTTAGAGTACATTTAGTCTTATAAGCAACTGCCAAACTGTCTTTCAAAGAGGACATAACATTTTGCATTCTCACCAGCAAACTATGAGAGTTCCTGTTGCTCCATGTCCTTGTCAACATTTGTTGTTTTCAGATTTTGGCCATTCTAATAGATGTGTAATGGTATCTCATTGTTTTAATTTGCCTTTCCCTGATGACATATGATGTGAAACATGTTTTCATATTCTTATTTTTCATCTGTATACCTCTTTTGGTGAGCCATCTGTTAAGGTCATTGGCCCACTTTTCAACCCAGTTGTTTGTTTCCTTATTGTGGTGTTTTAAAAGCCCTTTAAATATTTTGGATAATGGTCCTTTATCAGATGTGTTTTGTGAAAAATTTTCTGTCAAATCTGTGGCTTGTCTTCTAATTTTCTTTTTTTTAAAATATATTTTATTGATTATGCTATTACAGTTGTCCCATCTCCTGCCCTTCACTCCTCTCCACCCTGCACACCCTCTCCCACCAACATTCCCTCCCTTTAGTTCATGTCCATGTGTCATAAGTTCTTTAGCTTCTATATTTCCCATATTATTCTTGCCCTTACCCCTGTCTATTTTCTACTATTTTCTACCTACCATCTATGCTACTTATTCTCTGTGCCTTTTCCCCCCTCTGTCCTCCTCCCACTCCCCTGTCGATAACCCTCCATGTGATCTCCATTTTTGTGGTTCTGTTCCTTTTCTAGTTGTTTGTTAGTTTCTTTTGGTTTAAGTGTGGTTGTTAATAATTGTGAGTTTGCTGTCATTTTACTATACATGTTTTTTATCTTCCTTTTCTTAGATAAGTCCCTTAAACATTTCATATAATAAGGGCTTGGTGATGATGAACTCCTTTAACTTGACCTTATCTGAGAAGCACTTTGTCTGCCCTTCCATTCTAAATGAAAGCTTTGCTGGATAGAGCAACCTTGGATGTATGTCCTTGCCTTTAATGACTTGGAATACTTCTTTCCAGCCCCTTCTTGCCTGTAAGGTCTCTTTTGAGAAATCAGCTGACAGTCTGACAGGAACTCCTTTGTAGTTTACTGTCTCCTTATCTCTTGCTGTTTCTAGGATTCTCTCCTTCATTTTTACCATGGGTAAGTAATTATGATATGCCTTGGTGTGTTCCTCCTTGGGTCCACCTTCTTTGGGACTCTCTGAGCTTCCTGGACTTCCTGGAGGTCTATTTCCTTTGCCAGAATGGGGAGGTTCTCCTTTATTATCTGTTCAGATAACTTTTCCACTTCTTGCTCTTCCTCTTCCCCTTCTGGTACCCCTATAATTCAGATGTTGCAATGTTTAATAATGTCCTGGAGGTTCCTAATCTCCTCATTGTTTTGAATTCTTGTTTCTTCATTTTTTTCTGGTTGGTTGTTTCTTCCTTCCTTCTGGTCCACTCCATTGATTTGAGTCCCAGTTTTCTTCCCATCATTATTGGTTCCCTATGCATTTTCCTTCATTTCACTTATCGTAGCCTTTATTTTTTCATCTAATTTGCGACCAAATTCAACCAGCTCTGTGAGCATCCTGATCACCAGTGCTTTGAACTGTGCATCTGATAGGTTGGCTATCTCTTGATCACTTAGTTGTATTTTCTAAGCTTTGATCTGCTCTTCCATTTGGGCCATTTTTTTCCCTTGTCGAGCCTGTTATGTATGAGGAATGGAGCCTTAGGTGTTCACCAGGGTAGGGCAACCCAGTACCTGGGTTGTGAAGTTGTATGTGGGGTCAGGGTCCAAGAGGAACAATGGCATTTGCTCCTTTCTCTGTTGGGTTTCAGTCCCTTCCTCTGCTTCCCCCAAGCAAACTGAGCCTTTCTGGTGCTAATTCCTGTGTGGGTGAGCTTGTGCACGTTCTAGGATCCGTGGTTCTCTGCAATGCACTCTCCTGTGTGGCTGGGAGTCTTTCCCTGTGCCTCAACTTCCACAGGTGTTTTCAATCAGTGGTTTGAGGCTTTATTTCCTAGCGCTGGGACCCTGGGTTGCGAGGTCTGTCTCACTGCCCAGTTTCTCCTGGTTTATCTGCGTGCAAATGTGGAATCACCCGGACAGCGAGGCGCCTTGTGCACAGTGCCTTACTTCACAGTCACCACCTCGCTGGGTCTGCCAGCTGCCTGCATGCCCAGAGTCCACCCGCTGCGGTCTTGCACCTGGGATGCCTTACATGCCTGGGAAGCTTTACGTGGTGCCACCACTTTTTTGCAGTGACTCCTCTCTGCCCAGCTGCCCAACTCCATCCTTCCTACCGGTCTGAATGAATGTATATATTTTAACTCCTTGGTTTTCCAACTTCCATACAGTTCATTTTTCTGTCAGATCTGGTTGTTATCTTCTTTCTAACTTGTTGCTGACCTTATTTTGGTTGTGCGTGGAGGCACAGTGTTTCTACCTATACCTCCATCTTGGCCGGAAGTCCCTAATTTTCTTAATACTTTCTTTTGCAGAGCAGAAGTTTTTAATTCTAATAAAATCCAGATTGTTAATTATTTATTGCATGAATTATGTCTTTAGTATTGTATCTAAAAAGTCATCATATCCAGGGTCATCTAGGTTTTCCCTTATGTTATCTTCTAGGAGTTTTATAGTTTTCTATAATTTTTATTTTTTATTTTAAGATTTTATTTATTCATTTTTAGAGAGAGAGGAAGGGAGATAGAAAGAGAGGAAGAGAAACACCAATATGTGGTTCTCACACACCCCACACTGGGAACTTGGCCTGTAACTCAGGCATGTTCCCTGACAGGGAATCCAACCTGTGACCCTTTGCTTCACAGTCTGGTGCTCAGTCCACTGAGCCACATCAGCCAGGGTTATAGTTTTATTTTTTACATTTACCTCTGGCATTCATTTCAGTTCACTTTTTGTGAATGGTGTAAAGTCTGTGTCTAGATTAAATTTAAATTTTTTTTAAAGATTTTATTTATTTATTTTTTAGGGAGAGAGGAAGGGAAGGAGAAAGAGAGGGAGAGGAACATCAATGTGTGGTTGCCTGTCATGCACCCCCAACTGGGGACCTGACCCACAACCCAGTCGTGTGCACTGACTGGGAATCGAACTGGCGACCTTTTGGTTCACAGGCTGGCACTCAGTCTACTGAGCCACACCAGCCAGGGCTAGATTTTTTTTTTTTGCAGGTGGATGTCCATTTGTTCCAGCAACATTTGTGGAAGACTATCATTTCTCCACTGTATTACCTTAGCTCCTTCGTTGAAGACCAGTTGACTATATTTATGGGGTCTATTTCTGGGTTCTCTACTTGACAGAATATAGAGATAAACCAAATTATAGTCTAAATGCTCAGCCTCCAGTAACTTTCATTGTCCATTGACCTGGACAGGTGTTGAATAAATTGAAGCCTGAAAGTGAGGATTGAGTTACCTTTCATTTCTGCATGATTCCTTAAAACTCACAATCCCAATAAAATTTGATCATAGTTTTGTTAGCTTCTTCAGCACCTAATTAGGCACAAGAGAATCTAAGGGCAACAACCAGTCATTGTTTAGGGAAAAGAAGGGGGGGGGGAATTACTGCTGCTTTCCAGATTTAATACTTGATCTTTAGTTGACTCCAGACCTGTGGGCCCAGCTGTGGGCTCCCAAGACTTTTTCTCTAAATCGGAGAATGAGCTTAGTCCCAGGACTCAAATAGGAATCCTGGTCTGAGCACCTAGGTTTCAGGCTCAGTGCCTCTCCTCACTGTGTAGTAAGAATGCTCCTGTTACATCTCACATAGTACATTTGCAGAACCTACTGCTTCTCTTGATAGACTATGGGGAGTTTCTTACAGTTGAAGCTGTCTCTTTTTCTTTGTAACCCCTTGACTAGCATTGTAATTAGTATATAATAGGCAATTAAGATAAAAAATTGAATTCATCTTTTTTTCTCTGAACAACTTCTAATGTCCTTCACTGAGGTACAGAGCTGTGAATACAGAAAAATATAGTACATATCTGGAGAATATTCTAGTACAATGAAAGCAGTGTATCTTGGTGATTAAAAGCATGACCTCCAGAGACATATTGCCTGGTTCATACTCCAGTCTGCCTCCTACAAATCCCATCACCTTGGGCAAGCTCTGTGTCTCAGTTCTCACTTGTAAAATGGGAGTAACAATAGAGCAACTCAAACAGTTGTGAGAATTAAAAGAGTTAATATGAGAAGGGACCCCAAAACTCCAGAATTTATTTATTAAAAATTTGTGTATTTATTCTTACACATTTAAACTTCAGTCACCTTCAAAGTACTCTTCATTTGATGCAACACACCCATCAAGATATTTCCCCCATTGCTGAAACAGTTTTTGAAATCATTGATTTTGATGCCTTTTGGTGTTTCTGCTGTTCCCCTGCCTCCCGCCACTAGATCTTCCATGTCAGCAAAATGTTTCCCTTTGAGGACTTTTTTCATCTGGGGAAAGGAAAAATAAATTTCTTGGGACCAGATTAGGTGAATAGGGAGGGTGAAGCACAGGGTTCAAGCGATTTTTTTGGTCAAAAGCTGCTGAATACTCAGCATGGTTTGGGCAGGTGCACTTGCAAATCACCCACCATGAAATGGGCAAAGACACTGAGTCTTCAAAAAAAATCCACTTAAGCTGAATTCAGCCTCTCACAACAACGCCAAGTAGTACAATGATACAGCTAGAACACTCACCTCGCAGGAGAAACCTGTACTACAAGGGGCCCATCTTCCAGAAGATAATTCTGTGTTTTGGGGGTCCCCCTCATATATGTAAATAGCTTGAAATAGTTGGTGGCGAAACAGATCAAGTGTTAGACCAATGGAGGTAGTCAGACCAGACCTTGGTTCAGCAGCCTTGTTACTTGAGTTCTGGCTAAGAAAGAATTCAGAGGCAAGACTCAAAACTCTCAGAGAAAGTTTATTTAGAAAGTTACAGTTGTAGGAAAAGTGAGCCACTTGGGCATGGTATCAGGAAACAAGTTACAAAGCCAAAAGAAGGGCCCTTGGAATTTAGGAAAAAGATAAAGGCAATCCATCTTGAGGGAAGAAGAGGGAGGTAGACAGACAGGAAAGCCTCAGACATGCTCCCAAGAAAGAGCATACTGGGTCCTATCTTGAGAGGTTTTTTTTTAAAGATTTTATTTATTTATTTTTAGAGAGAGAAGGGAGGGAGAAAGAGAGAGAGAGAGAAACATTAATGTGCGGTTTCTGGGGGTCATGGCCTACAACCCAGGCATGTGCCCTGACTGGGAATCGAACCTGCAACATTTTGGTTCACAGCCTGTGCTCAATTCACTGAGCTACGCCAGCCAGGGCTAGAGCTTTTAAGAGTGGGGATTATAGGGAGGTCCTAGGGGCGTCTCTATAGAATATTCATCAGCTTTCCAGATGTGTCCTCTTAGGGCTGTCATCTCCACTAATTGGTCAGTGACAAGGCAGGGGGATCATGAGTCAGTACAGGTGGTCCTGATGTCAGCCATAGCATTCCTTGTCTGGTTTTGCTGCTTTTTGGGGCCTGGAGCTGAAACACAGCTGAGGCCTAGATGTATTATATTTGATGTGGGTCAGCACTTCATTGTCCTGGGGGCTTAATGCTTAAGAGTATTCTCTTACCTCCTTGTTTGTTTGTTTCTCTTCTAAGAGGATCTACCACATGACTAGTGATATGCTAGGGGAGGAAAGGTCACTCTGAGGGCAAAGTACCTGTTTTTCCAGTTTTGCCCATTCGTAGGCACCCTAGGCTTTTGGAACCAGTGATCTTCGATACCTGGCCCTGTTCATATCTGTTTAACAGCCTACCACAGGACAATGTCTGGTACATTAATACATGTTACCTGTTATTATTGTGATTATTATTGCCATTGTTATTCAAATAAATTAGGGGAGAGCTTCCTGTCTCCTATTGTCCCTAACAGTCTAAAACTTTTCTGTGGGGATGTCACTATTGACAAGGATCTGACTTGGTAGGACAAGAATTGTGCACGAAGATATGTAAACTAATAAAATTCAACCCCTGGTAATGCAGTATAAACCCGGCATCTCAGTCACTCTGGGATAAAGGCCCAATAAAGTCTCCATTGGAAGAACTGGCACCTTCCCTTATCCCCTCAGCCTTTAGACTCCTGAAGACTTTCTGGAATATTCTGTTCTTTCCTGGGGAACAGAGCAAGAAGAAAGTTCCACATTTAGACACCAGAAGAAAAAAAAAACGGCAACAAAAACAAATGGGAAAAAGTTGAGATTTGCATACATTCTACTCAGTAAAATGGATCTCTTCATGTTTTCTTTCTTCAGGCTATTATTACCTCTTATCAGGTCTATTCCAAACTACTTGTAACAGGTTGTCTTCTTCAATTTATTTTATACTGATTTTAGGTGAGTGTCTGTGTAGAAGGGATTCTGAACTTTGGTTGCACATTGGAATCATCTGGGGAGCTTTAAAAAAGATTGCTACCCACACAGGTTCTAATTTACTTTGGGGTGTGGAATGGGCATTGGGATTTTATTTTTTTAAAGAAACTCCAGTGGCCCTGGTTGGTGTAGCTCAGTGGATTGAGCATGGGGTGTGAACCAAAGGGCCGCTGGTTCGATTTCCAGTGCCTGGGTTGTGGGTCAGGTCCCTAGTGGGGCCATGTGAGAGGCAACCACACATTGATGTTTCTCTCCCTCTCTTTCTCCCTCCCATCCCCTCTAACAATAAATAAATAAAATCTTAAAAAAAAGAAACTCCAGTGATTTATTGTGCTGTCAAAGTTGAGAAACACTGCCCAGATGTGCGTACATATTACTGGGAACCTTGTCAAAATGCAGATTCTAATTTAGCAGACCTGGGGTTAGGGTCTGAGATTCTGTGCTTCTATCAAACTCAGGCAATACAGATTTTGCTGGCCCTACACACTTCAAGTAGCAAGGGCATGGAGAACACGATAAAATTATTTTTTGGTCCAATAACATCGCAGGTTTCCTGTTATTCACATAATAAGATGATTCAGCCTGGCATCTTAGGCTGGCATCAGCTATTTAAGGTCCTCTAACAGCAATGGTTCTCATATATCACTAACCATCTCACTGACCCTGTGAGCAGGTTTTAAAAGATACAGATTCCTAGGCTCCACTCCAGGCCTACTAAATCATAATCTTCAAGGCCTGCACAAAGGGTATTTTAAAAACACTTTCCAAGGGGTATACATAATAAGATTTAGGAGCCACAATATGTTTCCAATATACTCTTTGAAGTTCATTTACTATTCATTCAACCAGCAAACATTTATTGAACCTGCCTCATATGGGGTTCATGGGAAACAAAGATGAAAATACTGCAATCCTTAACTCTTGAATGGTTGGCAAGACAAATGACTAAAATAAGACTGTTTACTATTTACTATTACCTGGACCTAGCCTAAAGGCTCACACCTCTGCTCAAGGGCTTCTGCTTTTATGAATGTCTGAGACTATCAGGACCCGATCATTGCCTGTGCTGATCAAGCCAGATGCCCTCTTTACTGCATTTGCATCTCTCTACTTTTGTTTGGTCATCTCTTCACATTTAATTTCCTTGGTATTAAATCCAGAAAAGAGAAAGGATTTACCCAAAGTGACGTAACAAAAATAATTAACATTTACATAGTGATTTCCAAGTGCCAGATATTGTTATAAGCACTTTACACATGTAAGGTGTGTAAAATTCTCACAATACCTAATGAGATAGCTATTTTTACTATGCCTTAAATATGGATGAGAAAACAGAGGTACAGAAAAGTTAGGTAACTTGATCAAAGACACACATTCAGTAATCAAGCCAGGTTTACTCTTATGTCATACTGTAATGGCAAGTTGGCGACAAGGCTGAAATGAGAATAACTTCTCATTTCCAGTCCTGAGCACTTTTCTAAAATTAGTTATTTGTGTGCTTGTTTCACAGCTTGGACTCTAGCATGAAGGCAGAGACTATGTCTTGCATCTCCAGAGTGCCTAGAAGGGATGCCAGCATATAATAGGTGCTCAACAACTGTTTATTGGATGGACTGTTCCACCATGGGGAGGGATGGGGGAATAGATAATTACTAAAACAAAAGGACAACAAACAAATAAGCAAGAGCAACAGCCTGCAGGTCTTACATCTCCACTAAATTACCAAAACCCCACATCATTTCATCCCACCCTTCAGCCTAGCCTTTGGCGAAGGAAGACACTTCCCTCATTTTCGGAATGTCCCTGGCCTAGCTGTGGCTTTGTGCTCCGTCCTCCCAGCCACCAGGTGCCCCCAGGCCTCAGGCTTCTCAGCTGTCAGAGCCTGATCCTCTTTCCTTCTCACCGCTGCTTCCTGGCCCAGGAATCCCGGCCCTGAGCTCCAGAGCCCAGGCGCCCCAGGTTTCCCGGTTCGCTTGGTCAGGTAACAACGTGGCGCAAAACTGCCCGCTAGGGCGGCTGAGCTGCGCTTCGGTCGCAGTTGACACGGCCGGTCCGGCCCGCTGGTGGGTAAAGAGGCCGGGAGATGACCTAGCTTTTGGGGGGCTGGCGGGGTGGGGGGGGGGGGCTTCATTCTGCCTTTGGGCGCCCGAGACTTCTGCGACCGGCTGGGTCGCCTGAGCGAAGCTGGCCAAATGGTCCGGTTCCTGTGCGCTGGGGCCGGGCGTGGCCTGCAGTCGGTAGGCCGGACCCAGGCAGATGCGGTTGCAGTGCCTGCCAGGCGCCCAGCTTGCTTCTCGCCCCTGCCACGCCTGCACCTAGGCCCAGAGCCAGGAGTGCCCGCTCTGTGCTAGTGAGGAGGCCGGAGCCATGAAATTCTAAGCTGGAACAGCCATCTAAGTACTCCCCATTCATTCACCCAAGATAAAAAGCTGAATCCCAGAGATGGAGTGACGTTTCCCAAGGTCACAGAGTTGTATCTGCCACTTACAGCTGTCTGTTCTTTTGTTTAAGTATTTGTAAAAGGTCTACTGTTTCCTCTGCTCTGCCAAGGAATTAGGATTCAGAGAAGAGGACTCTAAAAATACTAATCAGTATATCCAAATGAGCAGATCCACATTACCGGCGGGTGACCCTGGCCTTTAAAAGGAAATAAGAGAGTGTGGTTTTCACTCAGGGTACATGGCATTTCTGGTTCTTACTCTGCAAATTGGCCTAAATGTTTTACCAAATTAAACGCAGACTGGACTGAATTATAGACTTTTCTCTTTTTTAATGTCAATTTAAAAAAAAATTTCAGTTACATTTGCCATTCAGTATTATTATATTAGTTTCAGATGTGCAGCACTATAGTTAGACAGTAATATAATTTACAAAGTGCTCCCCCCTGAACATAAGTCTAGTACCCATTTGGCACCATACATAATTATAACAATATTATAAACTGTATTCCCTATGCTATACTTTACATCCCTGTGACCATTTTCTAACTACCAATTTGTACTTCTTAATCCCTTTACTTTTTTCACTCAGCCCCTAACCTCCCTTTCATACGGCAACCATCAGTTTGCTCTCTGTACCTATGAGTCAGTTTGTTTGTTCATTAATTTTGTTCTTTAGTTTCCACATGTAAGTAAAATTGTATGGTATTTCAATTGTTTTTTTCTTTTCTCTCTTCCTTTTTTAAAAACTTATTTTTTATTTTTTAAACTGAGGCTCAAGAGGTTAAAGATTTGCCCGCACACTCTTATTGGCTAGTTAAGGACAGAGAAAGAACTCAGGTCTATGAATCACACCTACTGTTTTCTTGAGTAGAAATCTGATTTCAGATGAAAGCTGTTTCAAAATTTGACCTTGCTAAAGCTTTCTCTGGATAGCATTCTTGGGAGTGGCTTGTATATTGGAGTGTGTTGGTCCACAGATAGTATTTCACTTGTCAGAGTAGGATTGAACAATAAGTGTAGCCATGCAGAAAATTCCTGCTGAGATGAGACTGATATCCGAAAAAATGTTTTTGACTTTTTAACTTCTATTTTTAATAGAGGAGCTAATGATATTAATAATAAAATCTTGGTTATTTTTAGATTTTAGTCCTGTGTGACTAAATTGACTCAGTTACAGTCATTCTTGTCCTAACATCTTTATCACCAGTCAAAATTCCAAAGTGTAGTTTTCTGTTTCATTTTTAATTAAATAATTATCTTAAAGACATTTTTATATCTCAACAAAAACTTTGTACTTGTGCAATACCTCAAAATCCTGCTTCCCCCTTTGTCATTCTTTGAGTTGAATTTCAGAACTAAATAGAACAAGAATATTTTCCCTTCCCAAATATCTGAATTCTTTTTAATTCTGTATTTAGGTTTACCTCAAATTTTGATTTTCACTGATAAACTCATAACCCAAATCCAAACTTCAGTTTTATATCAGTTTAAAACCATGCTAAACTGCCATGTGTCATATGAGCTCTAGCAGAGACCACAACTGGTGGTGGTGTATTTTCATGACAGCTTCTTATTGGGATTTTTGAAATGTGAACATAATATCTAATACATGCATTGTTACATATTACATATATTACTTGCATATCCTTGTCCAGGGTCAGTCATCACTGAGAGGTTATTATTGACATTTACTTATAACAATGTATTATATTAGACAGTCAACTAACTCAGAATGCAATTCCTGGTTTTCAGGTTACAGCATCTACCCATTGCCAACATGTTATCTCTGAGGATTATGGAGTCAGAAATACAGCCACACAAATAGAAGAGTCTTGGCTGTAAAGAAGCACTACTTCAATGAAGGCAATATTTTTGTACTATTCTATAGTAGAGATGAAGATTATACATAAATGAACCCAATGCTGTTTTCACAGGGTACATCCTTTTTTTTGCTGTTTTTTTGTTTCAGTCTTTTCATCATAGGATGGCATTAGCTCTGTGTCTGCAGGTGCTGGGCAGCCTGGGGGGCTGGCTCTCCCTCTACATTTCTTTCTGCTATGTGAATAAGCACCGAAGTTATGAGTGGAGCTGCCGGCTGGTTACGTTCGCCCATGGAGTCCTCTCTATAAGTCTCTCAGCTTATATTGGCTTCATTGATGGCCCTTGGCCTTTTACCTACCCAGGTAGGTGGGAGACGGAGGATTTTTCCCAAAGGGATCTATAATGGGGGTAGTCTTAGAAGGATAGGACTTTTTCAGATAATTTGTACAATATCAAAGAATATTGAAAACTGATTATAATTTGTATTGATAGTCTTCATTCATTGTTAACTCTGATGTTGTCTATGTCACCTACTGCTTCTGCTTTTCATAGCTCTACCTTTAAAGCAAAATTTAAATGCTTCTTATAATGTAATCAATCAAAATGTACAAAACATAAAGCCAATATCAGTATTTTCCACCACCTCCAAACAGACACAAATGAACTGTATAATATGTACTTTTTGGTTACCTGCAATTTTTACTTGATTGTATATTCAAACAATATCATCTTTTCATGTTTATGTATGTAGATGTTCCTTTTTCTTTTTAACTATTAAATAATATTGTGTTGTATGTATTTACCATCATTTATTTAACCAATGCCTCATTATTTGGGGCAGCTATATTAATTTTTCTAGAACACCTGCTAGATATACAAGTGTTACTTTCTTAGGATACGAACATTGTATCCCCCTGTATTAGTTTGCTGGGGCTGCCGTAACAAAATACTACAAACTGGGTAGCTTAAACAACAGAATTTTTTAAACAGTTTTGGAGGCTAGAAATCCAAGAGTAAGGTGTTGTCTGGTTTGGTTTCTTCTGAGGCTTCGCCACTTTGCTTGTTCAGCTGCCTTTCTTACTGTGTCCTTATATGGCCTTCCCTTTTATTGTGTGCTTCTGTCCTAATCTCCTTGTTTTATAAAGACACCAATCACATGGGATTAGGGCCCACAACGACCCAATTTTAAATTAATTACCTCTTTAAAGGTCTTATCTCCAAATACAGTCCCATTCTGAGGTACTGGGGGTTAGGGCTTCAATACACGAATTTTGTGGTGACATAGTTCAGTCCATAAGTCCCCTAGAATAAGGTTTTTTAAAATACCTTAGACTTTTTTCTAAAAAATTTTCTTAGATGTCTATATTGAACTTCTGAGTTTCTCTCTAAACTGTCAAACTGATATAAAGGCAACTTTTAAGCTGGATCTGAACATGTCAGACCTTTGCACCCTATGTTCTTGGACATGTAACACACAAATTTCTGGAGTTCTTTCCAAAGTCCACTTTTAAGATGGGTTAGGGTTACCAATGTCCAGTAATTTAACTCGGTAAATTATGAAATTAATCTGACATTCAAAACAGGATAATTAAAAGCTTTGGAAATAGATTTTTAGCTGTTAAAAGAGAAAGGAACTTTGTAGGATTTTAATTGAATGAACAAAATAATTCAATTTTATGCTGCTACATAGAGAGGGTACTAAAATCATGGCTGGTGTTCAAATCACTTATTGAAATCTGATTCATCAGAACAGCTTATTCTGGGACCCGTAACATTGTTTGGTTGGATAAAGACCATGATTTTATTTTATTATTATTTTTAAAGATTTTATTTATTTATTTTTAGAAGGGAAGGGAGGAAGAGAGAGAGAGAGAAACATCAATGTGTGGTTGCCTCTCATGTGGCCCCCACTGGGGATGTGGCCTGCAATCCAGGCATGTGCCCTGACTGGGAATTGAACCTGAAGACCATGATTTTAGATTTAGTATTTCTTTGGTTGTCATTAAAAAAGCATGTGATCACCAATGTTTTTCATTTCAATGCTTTAAAAAAGGTTTCAGCCCTGGCTGGTGTGGCTCAGTAGATTGAGTGTCAGCCTGTAAACCAAAGGGTCACCAGTTCAGTTCCCAGTCTACAGCACATGCCTGGGTTGCAGGCCAGACCCTCAGTAGGGTGCACACGAGAGGCAATCACACATTGATGTTTCTCTCCCTCTCTTTCTCCCTCCCTTGCCCTCTCTAAAAATAAACAAATAAAATCTTAAAGATTTGAGCGACAATAACATAGGATCCCTGTGTAAGGCAGCACCATCCATAGTCACTCAATTTGTTTCTGTCTTGGTTTATTTCAGGCTCACCCAATACACCTCTCCAAGTATATGTTCTGTGTGTCACCTTGGGCTACTTCATCTTTGACTTGGGCTGGTGCATCTACTTCCAGTCTGAGGGTTCCCTGATGTTGGCTCACCACATTCTGAGTATCTGGGGCATCATCTTGGCCCTGGTGCTTGGAGAGTCAGGCACAGAGGTCAATGCAGTCCTCTTTGGAAGTGAGATTACAAACCCCTTGTTACAGATACGCTGGTTTCTTCGTGAAACCGGCTACTACCACAGTTTCATTGGAGATGTGGTGGACTTCCTCTTTGTGGCTCTGTTCACTGGGGTGAGGATTGGCTTAGGAGCTCACCTCCTTTTCTGTGAAATAGTCTCACCCAAGCCCAAGTGGTTTATGAAGGCTGGGGGCATAGCCATGTACACTGTGTCCTGGTGTTTTATGTTAAGCATCTGGCGCTTTGCATGGAAGAAAAGCATCAAGAAGTACCATGCCTGGAGAAGCAGGTGGAGTGTAAACCAGCAACTGAAACATAATGGACATCTCAAGACACACTAGTTAAGGTTTACTCCAGTTAATGGATTGGGTAAAGTTAGCCATGGGAACCAGGTTGGGAATATAATAACCATGTTATGGAACCATGCTTATCTAACAAACTTAGATATCAAAAAAGAACTAAATTTATTGGTCAGTTTTCAAATGGAACACATACTAGTATTAAGACTAACTTCTAAAGTGGTACAGTTGTAGAAAGTGAAATTAATCAGTGGTAGTTTGAATAAATCAGAACTACATTCCTTCTAGTTTGTGGTGACTCTGGGTCCTGTTGTCCCTAGGAAGCTTGCTTTTGGATACATTCCCTTTTAGTCCTCTGTTTGTTCTTTTCTCTGGAAAAGGTACCACTATCTATGGACAAAATACGACAAAGCCCATCTATGAAGGAAAAAAAATTTTTGAGGAAGATTTTTCTCTAATCTCACCTAGGAAAAGCAAGAATATAAGCTTAGAACAAGGTTTGGAATCAAGAATTCCTGGGTTCTTTTACAGAATTTTGCTAATCACATGCCCAATCATTTCGGGAAGTCACTTATTTTTATCCTTTGCCTCAGTGCAAATCCTCTTGTGAATGCAATACCCCATTGTATATTTCATAGAGACATTATCTAGCATCTCATTAGTGAAGATCTTTAATGTAGGGCTTTTATGAAAAAGTAAAGCATTATTTATATCTTTGCTGTTTGTTATTCAGATCAGCGGTTATCGATTAGCTTTGTTGGTGAGCAAGTGGGCTACTGAAGTCAAGAGTGAAGGTCAGTGGCAATATTAACCTTATGCAAGTTTTTGAGAATAGATGACAGTGGCCATACATAGCAGAGTAGTTGGAACCACGTATTCATAGGTGAACCAGGCAAAGCAACTTTAAAGGCATGTTAACAGTGGATTTTTTTTTTTTGCCTTTTAAAATGTTTTATTACAAAAGAAACATGTTTATTGTAGCCTGAAGCAGCAAATGATAGGAAAATACATTTTATCCCATCTAGATATCACTTCTTTGGGTAATCCTCCCCAGTGCATTTATTTTATTTATTTTTTATTGTTTAGTTACAGTTGTCCCACCTTCTTTCCCATTGCTCTCTCCCCTGCGCCATCCCCACCCCTCACCCCCACAGTCAATCTCCCTCCATTGTCTGTGCCCATGAGTCCTCTATTTGTGTTCCTTGGCTTGCCCTTTACCCTTCTTTCTCCCTTTATCTCCCTCCCCTCTGGTCACTGTCAGTTTGTTCCTTGTTTCCATGTGTCTGGTTCTGTTTTGCTTGTTTGTAGTGGGTCTTTTAAAAATGAGTGTCATTTGGTTAAAGAGTTTTACTGGACATGGAAATAATCTGACAGTAATATCTGCATATCTTTTTTCTTATGATCAGTATCTCTAAAATGCTGGATAGTTTCTTTCTAAAAACACTGCAGTCAAAGTAGGATGCTGGGGAATGCTGATTTTAATAAAAGCCTAGCAAAAAAGTAGCTTGGCACATGAGCTCTAAAAAAAAAAAAATGCTGGCTTAAATTTTGGCACAGTTCAACTTGTTCCATACCAAATGAATAGGCTTAATTTGGTACTAATTCTTTTCTCCTTACTCCTCAGCAGTGAAGAGACTGGGGACTGCAGATCTTTGTTTTTGGGTACTTTCATATCAACATATATAGGTCTCTTGAATTTTGGAAAACCTAAAGAATGATAAGGGAAACAGAATTCCTCATTTCAGCTTTTCTTGATGTTGTAGATAATAACTATGAAGGAATCTCTCTGAAAGCAAAATGTGAAATGAAGATTACCAGCAGTTAAGATGCTGAGTTTTCACATCACTGGTAAATGAAGGCTAATTAACAGATAAAATGGAGTACTCATTTGCATTTGGATTACTATGTGATAATTAACACTGCTCAAGAGAATTTATATTTCAATGACTTTTACTGTTTTATAAAAATAAACAACTTTTTACCAATCCAGAGTTTGCCTTTATATCTTTGTTGTGGTTTTGCCAAAAGGTTAAAAAAATGTTTGGCCTATAGAAATGTTGAACCATGTTTATACTTATCAGTAAAATATCTCTTACCTCCTGCTTATCAACAACGATTCCTAATATTCTTTAGTTTTTGGAACAGAAATCTACCTACTAGAAATAGTTTGGCAAAAAAGAGGAAGAACTCAATTTCTTTCTTATTTTGCCCCATTTGGGTAGTTACCTTGAAAATGATGTTGAGTGGGCTCCATGAAAACAGGGCCTTTGGCTCTCTTCAAAACTGTACTTCCAATGCCTAGTATAGTCTTAGACACATAGTAGGTGCTCAAGAAGCATGTTGAAAGAATGGATGAGGATTGAGAACATGACTTTCTGAAGGGATTATATAGATAGAACCTTTGGAACAGTTTAGGGCTACCAACACCTGTAAGGAAGCTTTCAGGACATTTTTACCATTAGAGATTTGTGGGCGAATACAGAGATTTTCATTACTTAAAAAATGGTTCTGGAATGAGTAACAACTGGCTTAATTAAATCCTTTGCCTACCATTTTCTGAAATTTTCCCATAGCAAAGGCCCACAGCTAGAACTCTGTGTGTTTAACTTTGGAAAAATCTTAAAAGCAGTTTGCCAAGAAGTTTTGTATGCAAGGAAAAGAAGGTGAGCCTGGAAACTTTCCCTGTTTGTTTTATTCCTGAAGCTCAAGTAGTGAGGCATTTTTGAGGGAAGGAACTCATTTTTAAAATGCATGATTTGATGAGTCATTGGGCCCAATTAACTTGATACTTACACTGCAAAATTATTAGGACAGGGTATAAATAAATTTAGTATGAATAATAAAGATACAAGTTTGGTGATAAGGTTTGCATTTTGGTCACTGTATGTAGATGGATGGAACCCTTTCCAGTTATATGTATAAAATAAGCAATTAAAGTGTCTTCATGATAGAATTGTCATGCTAGGATACACCAGCAGGTGGCAATGTGTCCTGGTCTGATTATTAGGAAAGTGACTTGGAACCTTAATTCCCCATTCTTTCCCAAAATAAACATTTAGCTAGCTGTGCCCTGAATTAAAAAACAAACAAACAAACAATCAAGTAATAAAGAGTCATCTTCGGCCTCTGTTTATCTTTTCCTTTTTTTTTAAACCCTTCTAACGTCAGCCTTAGTTCATACACTATTCAGGGATACGATCTTTTCATGAATTGTTGGCCACTGACTTAGAAACAGCATTTTTAAGAAATAATTGTTTCCCTCTCCACATCCACTGCTTACTAGATTTGTTTTGCCACTTGGATTTCCACAAAAAGGTTGTGGTCCCGTACCCATCAGCACGTGTTTAAACTCCAAAGTCTGAAAAAATGCGGATAAAAGTATAGCCGCTTCAGATATTTGCAGAGGGAAGTAACTATATTGTATGTGGTACTTAAATATGCAATTACGAAATTAGATGGATATCTAAATCTAGCCGGTGCCCGGGGGGGGGGGGGGGGGACGGGGACCCGAACAAGTTGCGAACTCTTGAGAGAGAACTACATTGCCATTTACTGGATATTCTTTATTTTCTACTCCCATTTATTTCCACAGCAAGCTCCTTAAGTCGCTGTGGAAAGCACCATGCTTTATTAATTTGGCAAATAATACATTTGCTTTTGCCAAAGCAATATTTCTACCAAGAACTCCTGGCTCCAACTCCCAACTTTCTTTCTCCCGACCCCTACACACCACCGCCCTCCAATCCTCCCCAGCAGCTAGGACTTGGGTACAGAGGCCTCAGTCATGGGACGAGACCAGCAGATGCCCCAAGTGAGTCGGCCAAGGCAAAAGCTTCTCTTTACTGGGGTTTGCTTCGGAGTAAAGGACAGTGTCCAGGCACCTGGACTTGAGGTCGTTTCCATTGGTCAAAAACAGCCTGTAAGTATTATCAGAGAGTAAGGACAACAATTCCATTTCTTTAATAAAGAATACAAGTTTCTAGGCCTAGAGCTGCTCATCCTGAAATTCTCGGTATAGGAGGAGTGCTCTTTGGCAGTCTCTGGTTAAAGCTAACTCAAAAGTACAGGTCTCTGACATTCCCACGGCCTTCCGGGCGACGGTGGGTTGATGGGTGGGGCTCCCAGGTGAGACAATTCTCACCTCCCTCGGCCCACAAACAGGACACCGGGGAATGGGTCCACGCTGAGAAAAGAGTAGGACAGCAGTCCAACCCGGACAGGTGGTGGCCTCAGCAGGACCGCTGGCCGCTGCCCGGGCGGAGGGATCCCGGGTGAGTCGCCTTCCCGAGGCCTAAGAGAAGGAGTCCTAAAAGCCGGCGGGGGAAGGTACGAACTGGCTAGTGCTGGCCGAGGCTACCACAAAACCGGAACCGGAACCGGAACCCGTCAGCGCGCCGGCGAGTGTCGCCCCTCACCTACTGGGTCCTACGACACCCACTGCGGTAGGCGGCCTTCCCCGCCCGCCGCGGGAGCTCCCTCGAGGGCCTCGGGACCTGGTCTGCCTGCCCTGCGAACAGAGTTATCACTGCTGCCGCTGCCGTCCCAGCCACCGCCGGCGGCCGGCCTTTCCTGGCCAGGCCGAATGTGAACCTCTCGCCTCTCGCGAGAACCGCCGCCTACCCGCTTGACTGGGAGGAGCCGTAACCGCTACCTCTGCAGACTGCGGAAGCGTCCGGGCCCCCGAACACTGTGCTGTAGACTGCAGCGGGTAGAGGCCAGTCTCTTGTCACTCCTCGCTGCAAGGCTCCCTATCCCCAGAATCCCTGCTTCCCGAGTACGAAGCCTGGTGGGGGTGACGAGGAAGAGGACAGAAATCTCCCGGCCTGCGGACATGGAGCCGCGCGAGCCTGGCGCGACACGACCGGAGACGCGGCGGAGGCTGCGGCCACGAGCGCCCGCCAGCCCCAGATAGAAAGAGGCGGCGAGAGGGCCCGGTTCTGCGGCGGCGGGAACTTGCAGGCCCTCAAGACCCCAGAGGAGGAGTGGACGCCAAACCCCGATTTCATCCTATTCTAGCTCTAGAGGGATTCCTGGGCCCACTTCCCTGCGACTGGCCCACTGCCTCTGTGAGGAAGTTTTCTCCCTGCGCTTTCTCGAGGATTTTTCTCTAGCTCTAGAACTTGCCTTCTGGCAGGCCTCCTTGGTTTGTTTTGGGAGATAACTTGTTTTGCTTCAACACGCATCCCCTTTTCTAGATCCCTTTCAACCGGACGTTCTAGATGACTGAATGGAGTTTTGAGTTGGACTTTTTTGCCCCTTCCGGAGTCGGGCCTAGTCCCAGAGCATTGGGGGTAGGGTGGAGGTGTTACTGTAAAATGCAAGTTGAATGAAAGGAGGACCTCTTGCCAAGGGCCCCAATGAGTGGCACGCAGTCTACTATCACCGACAGGTTTGTACGAACCTATGTTTATTCTCCCTGGATTTGTCCCGACCCAGCAGAAAACTCAGTGATTGCCTTTGACTAGTGAAGTTGACAGGCAAAGGAGAAAGGGTTGTTCAGATGCTCTAAAATTAAATGTAGGGTTGCTGCCCAGTTACTTGGTTGATTGAATTTGGAAATGTAGTTTTTTTTTTTTTTTCTGGAGAGAAACTTACCTCCGGATTCTCAGAGAAGGGGTAGGTAAAACCATGATGTGTCTGAAGCGTGCATTAGGATTCCGTACTTGTCCAGGAACTAGAGGAAGGTAATTTTGGGTGAAGGTCAGTGCTTGAAGTTCGCTGGGTATTGGTACATCATCAGTTTTACTCCTGTCTTGTAGTTGTGTAGACGCTCCAGAAATTTCTACTTGTGAACTTCATTCTGACACTGCTGCATAATGATTTATGAACTTGTTCTCTTTTAAGTGTTGTTCTGCGCAGTGTTTAATAATTTTCCAGAATGTTGAAGTTACTAGTAAATCACAGATTTTTGCTGGGAGCAGTATCAAGGGGCTTGAAAAAGGTGAGAGAAAATCATGGGGCTTAATTTTAATTAATGCATTTTAAGTATTTCATCTTCCAGAAACATTTGTGTTTAAGGGATACAAATACCAAGGGAATTTTGTAGTACAAGCATGGCAGGTGGATTTGTTCTGTGAGACCTTTATAGTACTTATCTGCATTGCCTGGTGGTGTTTGGTGAATTGAGCTAGATCATTTGTGATTCAAGGGGAGTTCCCTTACTCTTAATAGTTATTCTTTTGAATATTAGTTTGGGTGATAAAAGCATATTAATTCTTTTACTACAGTTTATTTCTCAATTTAATTATGACATTGTTTCATTCACCAGATTTCAGCTTGTTTTTTTCAGTCAACCTTCAAACTATTACATCATTGGAAAAAAAGAAGAAATAACTCAATTAGGCGCCCAAAGAAAGAAAGCTCTTTGATGAAAAGTGGAACAATAGTGCTCCTGAAGAAAATAGTTGAATTTCCTAATAGTAGTTTCACCTAAGTTGTAAGACTCATTTGTTGATTTTAAAAGGACCAGATTCCATTATCATACCATAACAGCTACTCCAAAAACAGAGCTTTCTCTTCCTGTTTGTGCTTTCCAGTGTCAAGTGACTATTTACCTGAAAAAATGCCATTAAATATTTAAACTATATTAATTTTTTGTTTGCGTATTTTAAAAAATTTTAGTTTTCAATGAAATGAAATAATTTTCAGTTTTGGGGGGATTACACAACATAAATAGGAACGATGCTTATCTTGATTTCTAGTTATCCTTTTGTTTTCAAAGTGTTTTGCTTTTGAGAAATCACTTTCATGGGTGTGTGGGTAATTGTTACACTGGTTTTTTCAGTTCTTTTCCACTCTTGAACCTGTAGACAAGAAGTCTTACAAGAAGGTAATGTAATGTTGCTAGTTTTCATTGCGATAATAGGGGTGTTTAATTTTGTAGAAACAATGTGCAGTCATCAACTCATTCCACTCACACCTACAAGCCCACAAGTAATGCCCTTTCTTCCTTTTTGCTTCTCGGAGATTTCCTTAACTCTTTTCATTATCTTGGAAATAAAATCTTGGAATTTGTGTTCTTTTTATAAGTTAGAGGAAATATAAATATACAATAAGCATGTAGTGAACAAATGCCTGTTCTTTGCCAGGCATTGTGCTAGGCCCAAAGGATTAAATGATGATTCTAAGTATAAGATGAATCTGCAATTGGTTTGGGTATTAATATCCTTGAATTGGTTCAAGTGCTGCCTGATTTTACACATTTTTTAAAAGAAAAACTTAAGAGTCACTTAATTTAATAAGCACTGCTTAGACAGTATGGATACCTGTTTCTTAGAAATTTACTAGTTTTTTTTTTTTTATAAGAATTACTCATACATGACCATTACTTTTTCTTTAAACATATTCTATAAATATCAAGGATCCATTTGCCCTTTAGAAAAGTAATTGTCTCTGATTTGAATATGTGTTAGGGTAAAATACTGGTTTATTATGATTTCTGTGGCAGGATGCCTTAACTTCTTCCTAGCCCTGTCTCCTTTATTTTCATTTCTCACTAACTGCAGTGTACTGTAGGTATATTTTGTTGATTCTAGAACTATTGGCAAATTAACTGCCGATGTAGCTGTTTAAAGATACTTTGAGGTTTGAAGTACTATTATTATGTGGTTTGGCTTTGTTTTGTAGAGTATACAGACCCACTAGACCAGCTGACTGAGTTAGAGTTCTTTCATTGTGGTGCTTCTGACTACATGGTCTCTCTGTCCTTAGTTGAAATCACACTACCTGGTTTTGGGCGTTGTTCTGTTCTGCAGTTTGTGGCTGGAGACACGGCTGAACAAGATAAGGTTTTATTCTTGTGTTAGGGGCATGCTGGGGCTAGGATGAAATTCAGCTATGTTTAGGCTCTGATTAGTCACTTTGGATACTCAGAACTAATATCCTGTCATTTTGCAGTAAAATTAACACATTTATTTATTCTCTTTTCTTCTTTTTATCTACTCGCCAAAACTCCCATCCCCTTTTTAAAAGGCATAGTCATCAATTAAAAACCCAAGTATGTTTATGGTAGCTACCTTTTTATGTAGTATATCTGAACAGCTTAAACAAACAAACAAAAAAATATATATATATATATAAAAGCAGCTTACCTTCCACTCTCCTGCTTTGTAGTGCCTGTGAGACCTGTGGACTATAGTTTTCAATTTTTAGAATCATCACTCAAAAAGTGGTAGAAATAGCTGATTGCTGTTTTTCAGTTTGCGTTGATTACTGCATGCATCCTAAAACATTTGTTTCCAGTACCTTTAGATTCCTGTCTTCTGTCCCTGAGAGTTTAGGTGTCCTCTGGCGATTGGACTTTCTTTTGAGAAATAGAAAAGAATGATTTTTCATTGGATTCAGTAAATGATTTCAGGCTAGATTTTAGAACATTGACTTTCTAGGGACAATACAAGCGGGATTTTGTTATAAGGTCTTCCTTGAAATAAATGGACCTTTGTCTTGTCTTGAATTTAGGGTTTTGTTTTGTTTTTTTGATTTATGGATAAACAGGTTTTTAATGCATTGGCATTTTCTTAGCACTGAGTTCAACTTTAAACTTGCTTAAAACTTAAGTAAACTTTAAAAGTGAATATGGGAACCTGTGACTTTATATGTGTATACTCATTAATTAACATTTTAATTCATGATACTTTTTCTTTTTTAAAAAAATATTTTATTTATTTTCAGAGATAGGGGAAGGGAGGAAGAGAGAAACATTGATGTGTAAGAGAAACAGATTGGTTGCCTCTCCCACACCCCCAACTGGAGACCTGGCCCCCAACCCAGGCATGTGGTCTGACCAGGAATTGAACCGGTGACCTTTTGGTTCTCAGGCTGGCACTCAATCCATTGAGTCACACCAGCCAGGGCTCATTATACTTTTTCTGCCAGCATCTCCATATAATGCTTGTGATTTTAAAAAATACAAAAAACTAGTGTAACTGTGCTGTTTTGAAGGATGCTTGAGTCATCTGCAAGGTGAAATTGTTTGTAATACTTATGAAGTCAGTTATTTGATAAATACAAAATTGAAATTGGGTATCAAGATCCCAGTGATGTCTTTTCTTCTAAGAGTTCAGTGTAAAACCCCAATTCATATAGGTATGCAGTAGTACTTTCACTTGTTCAGTTTTAAGTGAGAAACATGTACAGTCCAAAGTAAATCTTAAAAAAATACAAAGCTGATAAATGGCACATTGATTAGGTGTTCATATTAATTCAGTGAGATGGCAAGGGAAGCTTTATTTGAATCAATATAAAGGTATATTAACCTGGAAATACCACTAACACACTCGTGGTTTACAGTTTTTTAAATGTAGTATATAATATTGAGTTAACATGTAGGACTTTTTAAAAACTAAGTTTGAATTTTTAGTTGAAAGAATGAAATTTGAGGCATACATTGATGGAACTTATAAATGGTGTGTTTTCCATATTTTTCTGTGGAGCGTTGTGATTCCAGGGAAAACAGTTGGAAAATCTTTATGTAAACATATATGGTTGCCTCTTATAAAAGCCATGTAGAAATAGATATGAATTGCCTACCAAATATATGGGTCACAGAAACAGCAGGATACTTTAATGGTTTTTTTCAGAGGTAATTGGAGAAACTCTTTTATGTCATAGTTGTCTGACATAGTTACTAGAGATATTTCTTATATGATTTCTTCTGGGAAATTGACCCATGCCATATTTTCAGGAATAGGGAATTTAACTTCATTTGATCTCATTCTTTAAAACTTGGCTTTGATAAGGTTTTCAAATTTTATATCAAGGCTTGCTCCATTCTCTTTTAGTAATTGAGAGTCTTCAAAATAATGGCATTTCAACATAAATTATAAAATTAGCCAAATTATAAATATTTTGTTCCCTTTGAGTATAATACCCTCATATATGAACTGATAATCTATAATTTTACAGCATTTACAGTGTTTTCAACTCAGCATAGAGCAGATCACCATTGTACTTCTAGCAAATCAGAGTTTAAATCAAGATTATAAAACTGGAAAGGACAGACCCAAGATTTTAATCTAGCTCTTTTTGGCTCTCAAGTCCCCCACTTTTTCACTTTAAATTATTGTCTTACTGCCATACTTTATTTTTTCTTTCCTACCTTCATTTAATAACTTTCCAAGCTGACCGTGTCCAAGTGGGAATTTGTCTCTTAGAGGATATTTTTAGTATCTTATCCATTCTAATTTTAAGTATCTCTAGAGTAGCTACTCATCACTTTCTCAGGAGACTGTACAGCAGTTTGATAGATATTGTAATCAGGTAGCTTTTCTGGATTTTTAGCTCAAACTTTTTTTTTTTGTTTTCTTGCTGCTTGTATAAACTTTCTATACCAGGCTAAATAACGTTCTCCCGTTTCTGTTTATAGGACTCTAAATGGGTCTGACAGTTGTC